AAATTATACAGGCTCGCGCGAACCGAAACAATCGCAAGCGACATCGAGACGTCGACAGCAACATAATTATCATCATCGTCACCGTCGTCATCACGATCCTCGTCAACACCATCGACAACAGATGCTCGTATCGGACGATCGAGATTGGATACCCACGGTATGTTTGGCCGACGTTTGGCACGACGAAACGAGAAGACCACTGTACTGAATCAATCGCCTCGATGCATTCCATTATACATAGATTTTTATACACTATATATATTTGAGATCGTATTTTGTAATGACGTAATCTTTGCTATTTTCTCTTTTATCTTTTACAAGCTTTTATCAATTTTTTGTTTAATTTTCGTATAGCGTTTATAATTGTACACGAGATTATTGAAATATATTGCGTTTAGCAAGCTGAAAATAATTAATTCCGAGTCTTAGAGCTTTCTCTCTCTCTCGTGAGCGAGCGCGCTATCGAGTATTCGTCACCAGTTTACGCAGGAAGTTTCACATTACGATCGCGAGTGCGCCCTAGAGAGAGAGAGAGAGAGAGAAGAGGTAAAATAACTTCGTTACGATTTTAATGGATATTATAAAGAGAGCTACACAGTGCCACGCTTTGCTCTCTCTTCCTATCTTTTGGTCTCTCTCGCTTAAACACAACACCTGCACGAAAAACATCGAAACAACGATAATGAGGGATAAGACGTATCTTTGCCTATAATGTGTACAATATATAGTATACATCTGTCGCGCGAGATCGTAATCAATCGTTGGCCTCGGCGTTGCTCGTGCCTCTCTGTATAAATTACAAGTGTATGCCCCGCTTGTATATAATACCCACGGATCGCTGTCGTCGTTCGACTACGCGAATTTATTTATTTATTTATTTTTCATTTTTTTAATATGTTTTTTCGTCGTCATTATACTCCTCGACGTGCGCGCTGATTTTCCACGTCGTTGCGCAGTGACGTAATTAACGGCTGTGTCCATTATAAAATAAACAACGACAATGTCACGGATGATGAGCGGCGCTCTCTCGGCTGCAGAAAAGCGCAGTCGCGGCAACGAAATAATTAACGAAATAATACTCTCTGCAGCTTGTGCCTTTGCAGTTGCTGCATACGTTAGTGTATGTGTGCGTGTAAGCTTTGTACACAGAGCAGCGATTTCACGCGGACAGTTGAAATCTGTTTAATTAAATAATATTTGCGCGCTGATATATTATTATCATGTTCGCAGCGTATCAAATAAGCGCGATATATGTTAAAATGAATTAGGCACTAATCGATCGTAATCGCGTTGAGCGAGAGCCGATGGAATATATAGATACCACGCGCACTCTCGTAAGTGTGTGTGTGTGTGTGTGTGTTCGTGTGCATGCGTCGACACAAAATTTTTACCGATTCCGAGTCTCAAGGACGTCAACGTCGTCGCCGCCGCCGCCGTTGCATAATTTGATTCGTTTTATTTTATAGATCCCAGAACGATCCCGGAAAACGCAAAGTAAGGAGTGACTATGTACTATATACCATGTTTCTCCGTCCGAACGGGACCGGCTCACAGCGACAATCGAGTCGTATTATATGTGTGTATATGTAACGTCCTGCATCTATATAAATGTGTGCGTGCAGATGTGCACATGGCGCTTGTTAAAGCTAAACGCTCTGTGCTCGACCGCCACTGCAAAATTGCTATTACAGCTTCTCGATCTATATATGTAATACAGTCGCGCCGACGGCGGAGATGAGCGGTCACATGTGTGCGTGTGTGTGTCAAAGATCGGCAATATTCAACGATTCTCTTTTTTTGCCGTGTGACACGCCGTCGTGATCGTTGACTCTTTTTTTTTTTTTTATCGTTTCTTCTATAGCTCGAGACTGCGAGGCAGCGCGTGTTTGTCGTCCGAATAAATCATTTACGATCGGCGCATTCTTCGCTCATCTAAACACAGAGATCGGTTTGAAAAAGCTTCCTCTACTTAGATTCGTACAATACTGTACGTGTGACGAATCCACGCTCACATGTGTACGCGACTCGCGTACATACGTCCAAGTGCGACGAGTCTGCTATACGTTCAAAGAGTTTCTCTCTCTCGTTCTCTTTCGAGGACGAGCAAGAAAAAAAAAAGAAGAAGAAACGTTTGCGCGTCGGAGTAGTAGTCCCTCGCTACAGAGCGCGTCGACTTCGTTACATAGTGTAGCATTAGACAGCGACCGCAGCAGCAGCAGCTAGTGTGCGCGTTGTTTCATCAAAACGCGCGCAGTCCCACACACTGGTCAGTCATTATATAGCGCTAGAATCGTCGCCATTCACACTACGTGCGAAACGCGATTGATTAAAAAAAGAAACAAAAAAAAGGAGAGAGAAGAGAAGAGCTGTACGAAGGCGAGGTGATAATAATCCATTACCGCGCTCATTTCATCGTTCGAGCCGCGCACGAATACACGTACGGGCGTACGTTACATAAAAAGTCTCGCGGGTGTCTCCGAAGTGTGTAATACAATTGTGTGCGTCGAGCTCACACGAGAACGTGTGCAATTCCGTGTGCGTGTGTGCAGTCGCCAGCCGACGTTTGCAAAATTGCGGGGCTTTTATTCGATACGATTCGTGCGTTAAAGTGTTTCGTGTGCGTGACGCCGAAGCAGCAGCCGTCAGCTTGGCCACTACTGTAACGCACGCAGACGACGATTGAAAAATTAGCACCCGCCGCCGCCGACGCTGACTCGCAAACGTCGACGCGACGACAGGAGAGCCTATAAATTATTGCCCCGGCATTATATTTTATATATATAACACGAAAGGTGGGTCGTCGAACTCGTAAGTTTGCAGCTTTAAACGATTTTTTTTTATCATATGGCGCTCGACGATGGTCAGCTGCCGCTTTTTTTTTTTATTTGCTTCGATCATTTTCCTCGGCGCTTTTTCGTGTAGGCTTTTTTTAATTAATTTACTCTTTCACTCTGTCTATAAAACGTGCGACGTTGACTCGTTTCGCGATCGAGTATAATTATGTAAGCAACGAATCGGACAAGTACATTTATGTATGTGGCTGCGAGCGCGATGCGTTCCCGATGCAGCAACACACACTCTTAATTAATTGAGTGGAAAAATTATACGCGCGCGAGAAAATATATCTATCACCTCGAAAATTGCCTTATTGGCGCGTACAAACGCGTCTGTATTAATGCTGCATAAATACACACACACACACTCGAAATAGTTGAATCGCGAACGTGTAAATCGATTTCACTTGCGACGGCGCCATTGCCGCGAATCGTGCTGTTTCTTTATCGCTCAATAATTGTCGAGGTATTCGACGCCCGATATGATATTTGCGCGATCGCCGCTGTTTATAACAGTTGAAAATTTTCAAGTACTTGGCCGATTACATACCGTGCGGCTGGTATGTATACCGATTGTTACACGTATATATTAAGCACGCGCCTTTTCCGCGAGCTCGAGCGAGGCTCTCAAGGCTCGAGAGAGAGAGAGAGAGAAGCTCGATGAGTGAATATGTGTTAAGCGTAAACACACGTATTGAAAACCACCACGTGTGTATGACGCGACGCTGCTCTCTAGCTGCTGCATTATATGCTCGTGCTGGTAATGCGTGCACACGAGAAGCGGCGCGCGATGACTCGTTACAATGTCATAATTCATGCACGTGTGAGCGAATCGGCTATATAATGCGAAACGATTCGCGAGCGGCAGCTTAATATTTGTTTAACCGATGCCACGATGATGATGATGATGATGATGATAATGAGTCGCGGCGACGAACCTGTAAAGCTCCTATCCCAATAATACGAGATAACCCAGTTATGCAGTCGCCAACGTTCTTGTGGGTATATGTGTAGGCGCTAAAGAGAGAGAGAGAGACAAATAAGGCTGTAATCTCAATTGTATTCGATATTTATTATTTTTTATTGCGAGTAAAAGCGCGGAGAGACCAGTTCCAGCCACGTCTTATAAAGCTATATATAATATCGCGCTATATAACTCCGCGGCAAGGACGAATGATTTTTTTTGCACGATACACACAATATGTTTATTTATTTACTAAGCCTGCGCGCGGAGCTGTAATAGATAGCTCGTGTGCACTGCATTTATATGTATAATAAGTATTTACTTGTCAACAATGAGCCTCGTTCATGTATCGGCAATTGGATCGTTAGAGCAGCTCCTAAAACATAGACGACTTTTCATAATATCGGAAATAAGGTGGAAAAATCGCGATATCGTCAAAGTCGCAAAGTCGTCGCGGCGTCGACGCGCTTGACCTTCTGTCTCTTTCTCGACATGCTTCAGCAAGTTATACATTAAGCTCATATAGTATCTTTTTTTCTCTCTGGACTGGATGATGTATGATATAGTCGCACGATGATGGCACAGCAAGTATAAATAATAAGACATCAAAGCCGATCTATCGATATACAACATGGACAAATATTATACACATATCAATGCACTCTTGACGAGTGACGGACAGAAGCAGTTCCTCGAACGTTCGGCAAATTCGTCATCGCGCGGCGCGGCTCGATTGCATACTTCGGCCACTTATAATGTTAATGCCTGCTTGTGCTATAGATTTACTCGAGTATGATAGCCGATTCTCAAAACAGAAATCGACGAATTCAATCGATGCGGTGTAGTGTGGTGTTTTATATATAAATCACGCATCATTCCGATTGCGCATATGTACACATACACACATTCGCTGTGCGCATTCGCGTATCGAGATGTACAATATGAGACTATTTTTGGATCTATAACTTACTTAGCCGACTATGTTTAATTGGCTATTATTAGCAGCTTGTATATATACGCGAGAATATTTTTGGGTTCATTAGGCATAAAACGATTATTATGGGAGCGCGCGGGCAAAAATCATCTAAAAGTGGAAGAAGAAAAAAAACAACAACGAAGAAATTAAAACCGAACCTGCTGGCGCTACCTGAACGCTTATAAATCGTTCGTAATATAAATGCGTAATGTGTAAGTGTGTCGCACAATTCACTCGATACGTAAGTACGTGCATAATGTATGCATAGGGTTATATTATGCACGAGCAACAAATTTGCGCGTCAGTCCGTGCAACGCTCATCCAGACAATAATCTTCGCGGCTTATCGCTCGTCGGCCGTTGGCAATTGCAATTCCGGAGTCTCTTTCGCGATATATACCATAGACAATACACAGCAGTCGCTCTATTCTATCCCACTGTTTAATGTAAAGGCTTTATCTTCTTGTGCCACCACACCGTCGCTCGCGCAAACTTTCACAAAATTTTGTACGTGGCTTTTCTGTGCTATATAATATACTCGCGGGCGCCCTTTCACCCATATATATACTTCATATATACTCGCGTTATTATACGTTGCAATAAGGCGAGAGGAGTGTATTACAATTCCGCGCGCAGTATAGTGAACATTCAGACGTCCGCGTTCGCACGCGATCGTACGAAATATCGCTTTATTATCAATATTATTTTCGTATATGTCATCAGGTTAGGGCTGCGTACGAGTCACACGGGTGAGTGCCGTATATACGTATAATTACGAATTCGAGTGTTTCGATGAAAAAAATCAAGTTCGTGTAAGCAATATCGCGGCCTTATCCTCACCTCTCTCTGTACACATAGGCTACGCATTATCTCGAGGCTCGCTCGCAAAATCGAGCGTCGTCGCGCATCAGTGCTGTGCAGTACCACGGCGATATATAGGCAGGCACTGGTATACAGCAGACTCCGTGCGCCGCGCTCCCGACGACAGTCTCTTCTGGCGCAGTGATCTGGCACATATTATACACACATTTTATAGGCTCGAGAGCTCTGCGCTAGTCTCTCGCAGCACATGGGTGCTAGTATTATTGTTTTCTAAAAGGTATGCGATAGCTCGATCATACATTGTATATAAATACAAGCTCTATGGACGTGTGTGAGTGCGTGTCTGTGTGACTGTGACTGCGTTTGTTGTGCCGATGCTTCTGCTTTGATACAAGCACACGCATATTTTTAGATAAAAAAGTATATAGCGTTGGCGAATTCGAGGAAAGTTAAAGCCCATCGATTGGCAGCCACTTTGCAGCGCTACACACGCGTACCGCAGGCTATCTCGATATCCAATATAAGACACCCACTTTTATTTACACATTTGCATTGTAGGTATACGCCGTTGCACTACGTACATACATAGGATATAGGATACAACTTTTACGACGTCTCTCTGTTTTACACACATTTACGCACGCCAGCTGTGTGCCGAGTTTGCAGTGTTATATTGCCTTTTCTGCGTGTGTATACTGCTAGCGTGGCCGTGAATCATCATCCTTCTTTCCTCGTCAATTGTGCGTGACCGCCTTCCTTTCTCGCTCTTTCTCTCTCTCGCTCTCGAACGATTTTTCTTTTTTGCGACCTGCAAATATCTGAACTATATAATTACTCTACTTTTATTGTACGATTGTACTAGAACGCGCACGTTGCTGGCTGCTGCTGCTACTCATACAGATCTGTGCGTGTGGTATGTATTTAAGCGTTAGTTTACTGCTAGATACATAGTGCATATGCACACGGGGTCGCGATCCAATTTATATCTCTCTCTCTCTCTCTCTTTTTCTCTCCTTGTATACACATAAACTCGATTGGCTTTAATTGTCGCCTGTTTTTATCTTCTTTAACTGTCTCTCTCTCTCTCTTCGCTCTTTGAGTACACTGCAATTTCTTTAATACCCATTTGCTTGATTTATTGATGCATTCTTTGTATTGTTTTACTCGCAAGCTATACCATAAATAATGGTTTTTGATTGTTATTTTTATGCATCTTCATTTTTTTTACAGTTCTAGCTAAAGCAAGCGCAGTACAAAATGTTCAGCTGGCTAAGTAGAGAAGATAGCAGCAAACAAGAGCTGTTTGACAATGTCACCGAAGGGCTCAAAAAGATCTACAAAACTAAATTGTTGCCTCTCGAGCAGGCTTATCAATTTCATGATTTTCACTCTCCACAACTAGATGATGCTGACTTTGATGCCAAACCAATGATACTGCTCGTTGGTCAGTACTCCACGGGTAAAACAACATTCATCAAATATTTACTGGAAAGAGACTTCCCTGGTATTAGAATAGGTCCTGAGCCTACTACGGACAGGTTTATTGCTGTTATGTTTGATGAGAAAGAAGGTGTTATACCTGGTAATGCTCTGATCGTCGACCCTCAAAAACAGTTCAGGCCGCTCACCAAGTTTGGAAATGCTTTTCTTAATCGATTCCAATGCTCCAGTGTAAATTCCCCTGTACTCAAGGGTATCTCAATTGTTGATACTCCTGGAATTTTGTCTGGAGAAAAACAAAGGGTGAGCATTCTTAATTTAATTATTTCAAACCACTTAGTGTATTGACTTTTATCTCATTGCAAACATTAAATTATTTTCAGGTTGACAGAGGATATGATTTTACAGGAGTTTTAGAATGGTTTGCAGAACGTGTAGATAGAATTATTCTTTTGTTTGATGCTCACAAACTTGATATTTCTGACGAGTTCCGACGCTCTATCGAAGCTCTCCGAGGACACGATGATAAAATTCGAATTGTTCTTAACAAAGCTGACATGGTTGACCATCAGCAACTCATGCGTGTTTATGGCGCACTTATGTGGTCTCTTGGAAAAGTTTTACAAACGCCTGAAGTTGCTCGAGTATATATAGGCTCATTTTGGGATCAACCTTTGAGATATGACGTTAATAGGAGGTAATTTTTCACGAGATTAGATAAAGCCCTGCTCATTTTAATGGTCATGCTTAAATCTATATTTGTATTATTTTTAATAGATTATTTGAAGATGAAGAACAAGATCTATTCAAAGATTTACGTTCATTACCCCGAAATGCTGCTCTTAGAAAACTTAACGATTTAATTAAACGAGCACGTTTAGCTAAGGTAAAAATTTCATTTTTTCTATGTAAAAAAAAATTACGATTGATATTAATTACAAAAATCAATTTTAGGTGCATGCATACATAATAAGCGCACTACGCAAGGAAATGCCCAGTATGTTCAATAAAGATAGTAAGAAAAAGGAGCTGATTAAAAACTTAGGTCAAGTTTACGATAAAATTCAACGCGAACAACAGATTTCTCCAGGAGATTTTCCAGATCTTAAAAAAATGCAGGAAAATCTAGCGCATCAAGATTTCACTAAATTTAGCATACTTAAACCTAGATTACTTGAAATTGTGGATAAGATGCTGGCAGATGACATTTCAAAACTAATGGCTATGATACCCCATGAAGATACGGTTACCACAACAGAACCACACATTAAAGGTACAATAGCAGGTAGTAGATGCACTATTTAAATGAAAAAACTTTGGTTATTAACTTTTTTTATTATTCTCTTAGGTGGAGCTTTTGAAGGTGTTGAAGATCAAGAAAGTCCATTTGGTTACAAGAAAGGTGAAGGCATCGACGCTGGTTCTAATGAACCAGAATGGATAGTAATGAAAGAAAAATACAAATACGATTCGCTTTTTGAAACGCTTGGTCCATCTGATGGAAAAATCACAGGAGCAGGTAAATATCGAGCGTTATTTTTTTACTGATAAATACAATGATCACTATCTAATGCTTGAAAACCAACACTTTTCTTTTATAGCTGCAAAATCCGAGATGATCAAATCAAAGCTGCCGAACACTGTATTGGGAAAAATATGGAAATTATCCGACGTAGATCGCGACGGCTACTTGGACGCTGATGAATTTGCACTCGCGATGCACTTGATCAAAGTTAAATTAGACGGACACGAACTGCCAGTGGATTTACCGGATCATTTAGTACCTCCGTCAAAACGTGATTTGTGAATGAAATTTTTCGAAGACTTTACAACAAATTGATGATTCTTTTGAACTCATATCAATCAGTGACAAGTACTGAATTCTCTTGTTTGATAAAAAAAATAATAAACGAAAAAATGAATCACGGTAAAACTAAATCAGTGATAAGTACTGAATTCTTTTGTTTGAAAAAAAAATAAACGGAAAAATGAATCACGGTAAAACTAAAGTTTATCGCGTGCAAATTATTTACAAGGACAATGGCAAGTTACTATTTTATGTAAATCTATTTTTACAGAGATCAATTGTCCTTAATTATTTTTTAATTCTATTCATGTGATTGTGTACGTGACTGATTGTGCGTGCAATTGTCACAACTGTTGCGCGTAAAATAGATTCGTATATTATACTAACGAGATAATTTTTGAACAGAAAAAATTTATATTATATTAGCAGAATTAAATGATATAAGATGGGTGTATTTTATAGAAAATATTCAACTCTTAAAATTCTTTACTATCTATTTCTATGGCTTATTATATACGCATTTTTCTACATTGTAACGAAACAATGTTCTTGGTCCAAAAATCGTTGTATCAAAAGTATTGTCACAACAAGAAAATTACACACAAAGTATTAAGAACCTCGAGCAAATGAAATATTTTTACACTACTAGACTCTTTCAGTCGACCATAACTTTTTACAATTATACATTCACTGTGACGGCATGAATTTTAAGCGCCAGAGTTGAAAAACGTTCGCGGCTTTTACGAGGCGTTTACTACAAACAAATCAGTCAAATAGACAAATCTAAAAAAAAATTCGGCAACGAATACAGAGAGTAAGAAGGATATGTTTACATATCGATATACGTTATAATTCTTTGAAAAATTTGAAAAAAAAAAAAAATTTATTTCACATGATTGTAAATTTGATTTACTTTTGTGAATGCACAAATATTCTTGCATGCGCTCGAAAAAGAGATAAGTGTAATTTTATGAATTATTAAAAAATTTATTTCTATGAAAAACTGAATCATCATGACTTTACTTATTTCACACTATTTGAAAACTTATCAGCATTAATTAGATATAATTTTGTCAATACTAACTAATGCTTATTCAAAAACGAATAAAACGTAACTGATATTTATGTTTTAATCAGGAATTTTCGTTTTATGAAAAAAAGCATTAATTTTAAATACATGTCACTGAAACTCATACGTTTTAATTATTCTACGCGCGTAAGCCCATGTCATAACAACGACCCGATTTGGCCCAGTCATAATTCAATCTTTTTCTACTGTCATGGAAGCATGAGAGATTTAAAAATAGAAAAAATTTTTCCTTAGCGTGATTAATATCCGGCTGTAACAATTATGAATTTGTACTTTTGCAAGTCGTTAGACCACTCGAGAGCGAAGAAAAGCAAGTACCGTCAGGGGGCGTAGAAGATTTGTTTCTGTTTTTAGAACAGCTCGTCGCCCTGGGGAACGGGCTTCCTCTCCTATACGACGTGTTGCCCACTTGCCACAGTTTGCATTAGAACTACATACGCGCGTCGTACAGCGACTCGGCCCCACCGTATAATACGTTATCAATTTTTCATTAGGTTAAGGAAGACGTTGCAATCGCACACAAATGTGAATCGATTTTCGGAAAAGTTCAACGTCCAATTCTCAATGATGATCGTGGCCATCGAATCGTTATCGACGACGCTGTGAGGTAGATACTCTAAAAATACAATCGGCCGATCATGAGCTGAAAGAGTGACAGGTGAAAACTAGCGCTGCGCGAACACGCGGGAAATCGACTGCGAGAATTCAAACAAAGAAATAGAAGAAGATCCGACAAGATGCCTTCGGCGTCGCAATTGTCATTGATCTATCAGGTTCTACTCTACTTGAATGGGTTCTACTTCAGTATGTTCGCGATATGCGAATTTTGTATAAAAATCGTCAAGACTTACAGTTTTCAAGCGAGTTTTACAAACGTGACGACGGAGTTTGCCGTGCTATTTTTATTTGTGTCAACGGAAGTGATACGAAATTTACTTGGCAAAAGAGGAAATTTACTTGATCATGGATTACCTTTTCTATTTGGACTATTTCTCATTGTACCCAGTATCTTGTCTACTTTGTACTTCTTGTTTTGGCAAGACCGTACTCTAAGATTGGAACAGATTTTGTGCATTATTCAATTAATATTTTTCACAGTTGAAGCATCAGTTGGCATGTTATTCCTTTGTGTCGTTTGGAAGAGACCACCACCAGAAGGCTGAATTTGAATAAGTTTGCATTTTTTATATTGTATCTTCATAGGTACTGATGTATTGCAAAAATAATCAAAAAGTTTATAATTTATTTTAAACTTGTGTAATGTGACAATGAAGTGAAATTATACTGTTTGAACAATATAAGTTAACATTATCAGTTAACATTAATATTAACGATTATTCTCTTTGAGAATTTGTTCCTTCATTACTCATTAGCCTAGAGTGTGAGATCATTTCTCCTAAGTTGAATTATTTACAGCATGTACAGTGTAATAAATAAATAATTTTTTTGAAAAATTCTCACTTAAGACTTATTTTTTATACTGATAGCCTCAGCTCGTCTCTTTTTTATAGCACGTAATCTGTTATTGCAATAAATACGCAGGAACACAGCTAGAAAAACTATAATTATACCAATTACTCCAAGAGGTGTGATGTAGTGATGATAAGTGATACATGATAGTAATATTGCAAAGCCCTGAAAAAATAAAATAATTAATATTTTTGATGAAATTAATATGGATTTAGAGCAATTGTGTAGAATTTTTTATACCTGACGAATAGTCATCATTATGATGAAAGTCACTGCTCCAAAATTGGAGATTGTATAATATATGTACAACTGACCCGTGGTGGAAAAGATTGAAATCAATATACAATCAAATGTAAACTGAGGATACTGAAATAAATTCATTTGTAATGTACACTTCTTTAAAATTCACAAAGAAATAAGCAAATTACACTTACAGTTGTCATAAAAGATAGAGAATAAACTAAACCTTCTTGTTGAAATAAAGATGTAGCTGTCAATAAAACTGAAAATAAGTTGACAGCACACATCATTTGAATAGTGCTGACACCATAGTCTTTAAACAAAGCATTCTGCCAATTACTGGTAAAACTATCTAAAGTCATGTAAGTTCCCAGCAGCATCACTCCAGAAAAAGTGGTTGTACCATCTGATGCAAAAAAAATTCATGAAGTAAAAATTTCAGAAGTTTAGGTAAAATTTTGAAAAAAATTAAATAGCTCACCACTTTCATGATCAGTACTTCCTAACATGAACATCATCATACCAATTGATATAAATACTGCAGTAACATATTCATAATATTCATATTTGGATCGAGAAACAATTTTACCCATAATCATCACAGGTATTATTTTGGATGCCTTAGCCAACACTTGCGTTGGAAAACTAACATATTTTAAAGCTTCATATTGACACCAACTACTTAAAACGTTAGAGAATGAACAGAATGCATATTTATATAATGGTATTGTGTGCGCAGGCTGTCTCATGACCATCAAACAAATTGATGAAATAATTACAGCTAAAACACGGTTTATAAAGACTAGAAATTGAGAATCCTTGAAATGACCTTTATTTCCAAGTTCATCAACATATTCCTGTGTAAAAAAATAATAATAATGTAAAAACAGGGTTTAATTTTACAAATAAATGTTTGTAAATATTTAAAGATGCCATACCTGGGTCATAATTTTCTCTTGTAAATAGCCCCATGTTAGATAACTAGCTTGCAATCCTAGGAAACAATGCACAAGGATAAAAGTATCTTGCAAAAATGTACGTGGTTGCCCATTATTAGTTGGAACTTGAGAATAATGAGGAGAATCTAGTAAACCCTGATCTCCACTGCCGACGAAACATGAATGCACTAATCTGGACAAGCATCCTTTACCTAACAATGTTGTAAAATGGTCATTTTTGTTTTTCTTATGAAAAATCAATGAAAAAATGTAATTAACTTACCTTTTCTTTGTAAATATTTGCTTATCCTGACATACTTGTAAATTAAATATCCAGGCAACAAAACCGTGGCATAGCCAGCAAAGTTTAACAAAAATCGTATAATCCAACTATAATACTCTTTAGAACTCAAAATATCTTCTCCATTTCCAACTAACGACTTGATAATATTAGTGGAAAAGTAGACGACGTACAACGAAACTAAAACTATCGAACTGCAAACATATGTAAAAATTTCATCAATTAAACGTTGACAGCAGTTGAAAATTGCAATGACATAATTGCAGATACCCACCAAATAATAATATCACCACCATAATTGCCCATCGCAACGAGCCTTGTGTCAATCGTTAAAAAATTACGGACAACTTGCACCGAGCCCGTAAAATATATAGATTCTAAAAACAAACAGCTTAACAAATCATAATCGGCACCTTCCGTTCTCTCACAGATACGTGTACGACGAAGTCATTGCACTCGGCGTGAGCGTTACACGACTGAAAACTCACGTTTTTCAAAGGCATATATAAAACAAATGTATAGTCATTAAATATCTATATACGATGGTATCGCGGACGACTGCAAGCACTGTGCAGCAGCAGCAGCAATACGCCATACACGCACTTGTGCACATACACATGCGTTCCAGCTTGCTTTCATGTGTGTGCGAGTTGGCCAGCGATTTAGTTCGAAAACGTAATAATAAGACGCGCGCCGCAGCGCGCTGCTATTACGAATTCATTGTTTCACTCTTGGTGCAATGAATTTTCTCAAATATCAATGACATCGTTGTAAGATAATTGAAAAAATTCGCGTGTACAGTAGACGACCAAATTTTTTAATCGTGTTTGAATCAAGATCATTACATACGTAAACATTTTTGAGAGTAGGTGTGCCGTTGAGACCTGTCAGAAAATTCGAAAAACTTGCTTTTTATTTTTCAAAACGTAATTTGGGAAAATAATCGAACAATTATTGTTTACAACACCGTGTATTCAAGAAGTATCCGTACTTGATTATTTTTCAGGAACTTGGCTGTATTTAAAAAAATAGGTTACGTCAGTGTAATAAATGAATGATAACACCGCCAGCTGACAGCAATCTTAGTTCGACTTTTTAAATTTGTTTTACAACAATGACAACTAAAAATAAAGAATCACTGGTTGTTCTTTGTATGGGTGTTTCCGGCGAAGCAGACAATAGCGAAAATCGATATGAACATTTTTTAATCGACAATGGTTATAAGTGTGATGTTTTACAAGTTCTTCAATTTGAATTTGTTAATCTGGATGAGTTGCAAAATCGCTTGTCCAGGAGCGATTCCTACAGTGGTAAATCTAGTTGCTAGTTTACTTATGAGGTATTAATTTCAAAATTCATGATGGTGTAATTTTTCATTGAAGGTTTGGTGTTGACAAGTCCAAGAGCAGTAGCTGCACTGGCTGCTAGCAAAGCAAAAAATCCATTGTGCGTTAAATCATGGCTGGAAAAGTTAACATTTTGCATTGGCCACGCTACAGAAACTACAGCAAAAGAAGATGTAGGTTTGCTCAATATTCTTGGTTCCGAATCCGGCAATGCAAAGAACCTTGCTGATTACATTATAACTAAAATGGACAAAACTCAAAAACCTCTTTTACTGCCATGCAGTGATATTGCTAGAGATACAATACCAAAAATGTTAACTAAAGAAGAAATCGGTATAGAAAAAATTGTAGTATATAAAACAAAAGCACACGAAAGCTTAAAAGAATCATTTGCTTCTAAACTAGCCAAGCATCCAGATGTTCTAGTTTTTTATAGTCCTTCAATTGTTGAGCACTTGGTGTCAATTAAGGATAATGATATAAGAGCGTTTGAGAATTTTAAAAATATTGCTATTGGTCCTGTGACAGAACAAGCTATGTTGAATGTTGGAATAAAAGTAGATGGAGTACTGGAGAAACCAGAACCTCTTGCTCTAATTCAAGTGCTCGAGAAAATTTGTTGATATTTTATCCATGCTTTAAGGATTGTGATGTTTTTAAGTTTTTGTTTAAAAAACATAGTCTATTGTTGAAAATAGATATTTTTAATATAATAATTTTACATAAGATTATATGTACATGAAATAAATCAATTAATAAGTGATAAAACAGATTTTTAAAAAAAATTTGATGTTTAATTGACTTTTTACTTAAAATATATATGCAAATACAAAGAAAAATATCTATCACAATTTCTTAGTTATACATCACACTAAAGTCACTGTAGTGATAAAAAAACTAAGTCCTTAATTACAATATTTTTAAAGCTGAATTTTCATGAAAAATAAAAATTTGAAATTACTAATACAATAATTTAATTTCTGTGACCGATATTAATTTTCAGTCTTAAATTAATTTTCATTTTGATAATATCCATTAGAAGTTGATGGATTATTCATAAGGCTTGCTTCTGCTTCCATAATCGTAGAAGCATTGGCATAGAAAGGCTGAGAATCTGACAAATTGTTATTAATGATTGGTGAGTTATTGTTGACAATTGAAGGATTGCTATTGATGACTGGTGGATTATTATTAATAACTGGTGGAGAATTATATTTCATTTGCACAGCTGTGTCATAATCTGGTGCTGGTCTGTAGGAAGGTAATAAGGCACGTAAACTGTCACTGATATCTGTGGTTGATGCAGATACAGTTGAAACAGCTTGACCTGGTAATGTTGATAAATCATTATAACTAGTCCATTGGGTAGGATAATCATCTACTCCACTCGGAAAACCTTGACTTCGTTCACTTGAATCATTAGTTTCACTCTCCTAAAAGATAAAGCATATTGCTCTATTCTATGTCATTTTAATTTTGGAATATATTTATCTATTTATGAAATAAATACCATATAATTATTAGTTGGCTCTTGACGATGTTCTGGAACGGGAGTCTGTTGTAATTTCATAAAAAATGTATGCTGAGCTATGCACAATCTCCACATGTACTTTGCAGTGCGTGATTCAGGAAACGTAAACTCTTTGGAATATTTCATTTCAGTTTGGCATTCAATGCAAAAAGTTTTCTTGTGGTTTATAACATTGCTAATATCATTCCATCTATTATCAAAGGAAATATAATCAATTTAATTTGTCACAAATAAACTTGATAGTATCAAAAGGATAATAATGAATACCTGTAAAACTGTGTTACTTGTGTACTTGGCCAACAAACCATGATTCCATTAATAGATATGCCAAGTATAACTTCTGTACTACTTTCATCCTAGTGTATATAAAATAAAATAATTTTTTATTTACTTAAATAACATTAAAACTTTAAATAACATTTCTGAATATTTTTCAGTATTTAAAAACCTTAGCTGAAAATGTTTCATGTCCATATCCTTCCAATTGCATAACCATTGTTATGTAGCATTCTTCTGCAGCTATTTGTGTCATTCCACCTAACATTTTATATTGACAGAGAGAACTGTTTAAAAGCCCTACTTGACCATTTGCTTCAGCTTGACTGATGGACTGATGGAGAATAATCAGATTAAATTTGGTTTTGTACTTTGAACATCAATTATTACAAGAATTCACCTACTTTTGGGAAAAATGTGTTTTGCTGAAGGAATTCAAGTCGATGCCTTGTTTCGTCATAAATACCAAACTCAGCCTGCATGGAGTATGCAGCTAAAAGTACAGCAACTTGTGCATTGCAGCGTATTTTATCTTCCAAGATATCACTTTTTAATTGTAAATAATAATGATACCTACGAAAAATAAAGAAATTAAAATTCAATTCTAAATGTATTTTATTCTTTTCAACCTTGTCATATCGTCTTGAATATAATTTACATCTGTGATATAAAATATGACTCGTAGATACAGATTGAAGCCTTCTGAATCTTTTTCCAGTTGTTTTTTTAATGGTTTATCTAAATCTACCCATCTTGGTGATGGTGTGCCATGACGACAAACATAACATAAACTAAAATATTCTGGTTGGCCAAGAGCAACTCTGGAAGTAACATTTTCCAAGCACTCTTGGCCAAGACTGTTTACATTTAATGTACATTCTATTGTAGTCGAGTCAAGCAATTCAATGCATATCATATACTGATTTTTGGACAAAACATTGTACTGCCTACTCTTTTTCAAGTGAAACTTGAAAGGCATTCTGTAAAGAATTTATAAATATATAAACATCAGACGTAAAGTAAAAAAAGTATAATCTCCATAAATAATAACCATACCTTTGAAGTATTTTATATCAATATTGATTTGATACTAAAATAAATAGTTCAATTTTTCCATAGCTGAAATTGACGTATTATAGCCCTTTGGGGGTTTTGGTTCCACTATGAGTTTGGAAAACTCATTTTAAAGTAATTTAAAAATATATTGAATTATCAAATGGACACGAGAAACACACGAATTCCATAAACACGACTCATAATACAGTGTTGCCATTTGAAATGTCAAAACATTTTGAAGCAACTGATCACATGACTCAGTTCATCATTTAACTAATTTTTTTTGTCATTTCTATACTTTCTTCATGTGCTTTTTATATCGGAATCTACTATTTGAATGAAAATTCATCAATACTTAATTCATGATTGTTAATTAACGAAGTCATAAAAATTCAAAGGTATTGCAGGTTATAACATTTGTGAATCTGACAACGTCGTAAAACGGTGGCGCTGCAGTCGAATGCTCTAGCAGAGAGCCTCATGATTCGCGATTGCAGTCTAAATTTTCTCATCAAACTTTTTTTTCTCCATCCGGCTATCGTGGATCGAGAGTGATTGACATACAAAAGTAATAACAGAGTATATAATCTAAGTCAAAAGTACTTAAAAGTCATCGAGTTATAGATAAGTTTGTTTATAAATATCCTCAAGATGTTGGAAAAAATTGCAAGCCTCCGTACTTTGAGAAGCTTGAACGTTCTGTCAAGTAAGTATTACTGTGTTTCAAAGGTTGTTTTTTTCCATTTGTAATGGTTATATAACCATTTTAATATTTCGTTTAATGAACTGATAAAAATAAAATTTGTGTCAGAAACGTTTCAATCAATACTAATACTTTTTTGTAGAATCGTTTGTGTCTCAAGTGAACACTACTACTGTCAGAACCTATTCTAGTCGCCTAGTTGCTCCAACATGCACCAGACAGATCAGTTGTTTACCAAAGCCAATTACCTTTAAAAATGTTATTACACCATCATCGTTACAAGTAAGTGAAAAACCCTTCCTTAATTGTAATTATCAGAATCATTTATTCATGTAAACAAATCAATTATTCTCTAGGTGGCAAAAATTGTTGGTAACAACCTTATTCAAAAGCGTTCTATGAGCTCACATGGAGATCATGTAAATATCTGGAAACTAGAAAGGGTGGTGTCAGCTGCTTTTGTGCCACTATTACCACTTTGCTTAATATTAGAAAATCCAATTCTTGATGGAGCTTTGGCCATTTTGTCTGTGATACATGTTCATTGGTATTTACCATTTCTATAAATGTTACAGTGTAAAATATTTGTTTCGATTTATTAATCATCAACTTTAATTTTAGGGGTCTAGAGGCAATCATTGTAGATTATGCAAGACCTATTGTGGTTGGGCCAATTGTTCCAAAAGTATGCATGGCTGCATTATATGCGTTATCAGCTGTCACACTTGCTGGTTTACTTGTTCTTATTTACAATGGACCCGGAATAAGCAAAGCTATTAAGCAAGGCTGGGCTATTGGCAAAGATAAATAAATTTTGTAGACCTGTTTATAGAATAAATAATTACCTAATTCACGTTATTTTTAATGTCAAGCTGCATTAATGTTGTAAATTAGACAATAAACGTTTTCATGATAGCGGAGATACTTATACAGGATGTTTTTAATATTATTCTAAATGACTTAATTCTGTATTGAATTTAAACAGTAAAATTATACTTTTATTCATTTGTACATTTAATAATTAATTACAATTTTTTCAAAAAAAAAAAAAAAAAAATATGCACCTATAAAATTAAATACAACATAATAGTTGTTACATTTCATTTCTTTAGAATAACTTATCAGATATCAATAAACAAAGATCCATGTAAAAATACAGTGAACATAACGTTGAGAAAACTATTACAATGAATCAAAAACATTAACTTTCAGTTAAAATTTCTCTCTAATTTGTGCTTCATAAAAATATCTATGAATAAATCAAATCTACATTTTACATTATAATATTAATGTTGTTAAAATTAATATATCTCACTTGATCATAGGGATGATAAAATTAAATTTTTTAAACTTTATTATAATAAATATAAATAAACATTTTCAGTTCCATTATCAATATTAGGTACAAATTGTATCTATTGCTTTTCAATTTCAACTTTTACTTCACTCTCTTTTTCATTCTGTTCTTTGTTATTTTTAGATATCTCCAATACGTGCATTATTACTTCATCTACAGTCTGCGTAGTCATTAAAGATTTTACATTTTCATCTTCAATGACTGCATTGAACAGTAGTTTCACATTACCCCTTAATCTTTCTGGCAATGGTAAATCGTTATCAGCTGTAAGTGGTTCACATCCACATCTGCGTATGACAGCTTCCAAAATATCTTGCAGAGGTGATTGTAGCCAACCGAAAAGCTATTTTAAATTAAGAATATTATTATTAAAATGGAAAAAATTGTTCCAAATATTAATGAAATTATATTAAAATTTGCATACCTCTAAAGTTTCTTTCTCTATTAACATTTCTAAGAGGTCTGTAATTGCTTTCATCAATTCATTTAACGACATGATTTTAGTCTCTCCAGCTTTCGTTTTTTCATTGGCAATATAAGCAATATTAAACATCGATAATTGTAAATGCTTTTTTTCTGCTTCACCCAATACATCTTCCAAAAGATCTCTATGCTTTGCGCGAATGTGTCGCATGAGGCAATCTTGACGAATAAATGCTCGGCCGCATTCGGCACATGATTGTGGAGGCTCTCTCCTGTGCGTGTTCATGTGAGCTTGCAGTGATGATTTTGCAGCAAAACATTTTCCACAGTTTTCACACTTGTGTGCTGAAATATTTAAAAAATTAATATTAAAAAAAAAACATTTTCTACGTCGCGTTTTACAAAATTTACACAAATTAAATATAATTCTCACGTTTAATTCCTGCATGTAAATTAACATGTTTAGATAAATCTTCTTTTCTTGTGAACGTTTTATCACAAGTTTCACATTTAAAAGGAGTGGCTCCTTCATGAACAAATTTTTTATGATTTGTTAAACGAGCTTTGCGATTAAAAGCTTTTCCACATACATCGCAATAAAATCCGTTTTCTCCAGTATGATGAAAAATGTGAGCCCGTAATTGAGCTGCTTGGATGAATGATTTATTACAATACTGACAAACGTGAGGCTTTTCCCCAGTGTGAGTTCTTTGATGACGATTTAAAGTTTCTCTTGCAGCAAACTTCTTTTTGCACTAAAAAATAATAGAAGTTTTCATTAGTTAACTATAAGTCAGAAAGCAACCAGATTAAAATGAAATATATATTTTTTTTAAAAATAAAAGTTTTTCTGTCTAAAAATTTATGCACTCAAAAAGTGATCAGTCATTAATAAAATAAAATCAATAAAATGCTGCAAAATCATTCTACAATATACTCTCACAAGTGCTAGTCTAAGATTAGTTGCAACTTACAAGTTATTTGTCTTCAAATCCTTATGGTTAGCTTGGAATAAAACGATCATGTTATGTTTCATATGATACATAACTTGGGAGCCATAATATTTAGAATTATTAAAAATAACTAAAATATCTTAATATACTCACAAATTTACATTCAAAAGGCTTTTCTCCAGTGTGAACTCTGCGGTGCTTTTTCATGGCTAGAGTTGATAAGAAAGTTTTAGGGCACAAATCACATTCTACTGGTCTTTCACCAGTATGCATGCGCATATGGATCACTAACTGCTGATTTGTATAAAATTGTTTTGGACATAGGGTGCATGATTTTTTCTTCCTTTGAGGCATACCAGCATGAGTTCTCAAATGTTCCCTAAGATTATCCTTACGAGTGAATACTTTGCTGCAAACCTTTGATTATTTTTTATTAAAATTTTTTCTGAATTAAAGAATTTCAAGAGATAATCATCAATATTTTACTTGACAAGTGTAGCTATTAGCAAGATCCCCATGACAACCTGATTGTTGTTTATGCCTGTTCAAGTGATAACTTCTTGAAAAATAAGTGTCACATTTATCACACTTATAAACTTTGCTAGTTTTGGCATGAGTTGTGTAACGATGCTTATCCAAAGCTTTACGGTCACGAAATGTTTCCCCACAGTCTTGGCATGAACATGGATCAGATTCCCAATGAATAACAATGTTGTGTCTCTCTAATGAAGCTGCTTTTTTGAATGATAAATTACAGTTTGTGCACTGATGAGGACCACCAGAATGAGCTGTTTCTTTATCTTCAGCACAGCAGTGACATTGAGTTTCTGGCACTGGCTTTATAGCAGGTTTTTTGTTATTATTCTTTGAACTCTGCGAGTCTATAAAAATATCCAATCAACAATTATTATGTAGTAGATAAGAATTCATAAATTTAAGTGTTGAAAATACTAATTTTTACCTGATGGACTATTAGATTCTTCAGTGGCAAAATTTTTACTATCTTCTTCATAATCAGAATCTATGCATTCCATAGGTCCTAAATCCATAATGTCCCTATCATCATCCTCTTCTCTACATACATCCAAGTGCTCTTTGAGCATCTCTTCAGAAGTAAAAATTCTACGGCAAGTAACACATTCATATTCTCCGATAACTTGAATAATTTGTCCATTTTGGGCAATTACTGTAACATAAATGATATTATAATGACTGATATTATCAATAGCTCAGTGTAATTTTTAAAGTTTTGTCAAGTACCTGAATCAGCATCAATTATTTCAGGAATGATTATAGATCCCTCCTCCCCTTCTTTGGAAAATATATCACCTAATTGCATAAAATAAAAAATTTTAATGTTCAATGTCCAATAAAAACCAATAAAAAATAAAGCTATTATATTGATTCAATGAATGTCACTAACCCACAATAACTCCGTGAATAGCATCCTCGGGAAGATAGGAGTTCTCCACTTTAACAACTTCTGTAAATAAAAAGATAAACAATGTATAAGTCTCGACGATGACACACACATCTTACATACATGCGTGTAGAGGCTTAAGATCGATAAGGAGCACAAGCAACAGGTATTTACACGGGAATTTACGCACAAGTGAGAGTCGGCGATTATTTTCCTTACCTATGAATTCACCCATGATGAGATCTTTCGAAAGAACACCTCAATAATGACAAATGCAATTCGGAGCACAACTCCAAAACTCGAACTTTCACCTTGTGCACTCGCAGGAGTCCGTAGAAGCAAAAGTAATATGGAAGAAAAACGTTCTACTTCTAGCTAGTGTAATCGTTCGTTCACAACACGGCGTCCGTCTGCCACATCATCCTTTTTAGCTCGCGCACGTATATTCCATCTGGCAGAGATAACGAAACTTGGTCGTGGCTGTAAGGCATCGACGAGGAGTGCGAAACGTCGTCTCGTCACACGTGACGGCGAATTTTCCGCGCTCTTGCAGTATCGGCGCCCGCGGCACGGTGCTCTTGTTTTCGTGCGTGTGGCTTGTCCTGCTGCTGTTGCTGTTTCACAGGACGCGTCGAGAGAGCAAGCTCCGAATATTATACACACACTTTATACTTGTATGCGAGATGCGAGTATTTGCGCCTCCGCGAGCCACACAGGCACAGATGTAGAAAGAGAAATCGTGTATTGCACGTAAACTGCTCGTACAGTACGCCCCTGCGTGCTGACTCGGCACGATCACCACATCGGCACGGCTCCACACAAAATGGCCTAAGCAAAGGGGCTACGCCTCTTATTTTTCCTCTTTCGTTATTCGTATGTGATGATGAGGCCGAAGCGCTCGGCTCGTCTTTCACTCGTCACTAGTGCGAACTCCCCTCTACCATTAGTACGAATTATCTTTTCTTATAATAGATAGATAAAAGTTACGCAGAGAACTTAATGATCGTGCATGAATATGTTTCTTTTTACAATGGATTTGGGATAATAAGTTTTATCTTCAAGATCGTAAAAATGCTGTTAGAATAGGACAAGACATAGGACTATATACATNAGTGATAAACTGGCGGAAATTTTTTGAAAAAATGTATGTTTTCATGTACTTGTGCCAATAGCTATCTTTGTTGTAGAATTACAATTTGCATCTAGATACATAATGTAATAAACTACTTTTAATTACTATTTTCATCGAATTGTAATTAATATTTGAATTTAACATAGAAAAGAAAACTTAATTAGTATGTCATCAGTTGAAGAAATTGTCTACACCTACCCTTTTGCCAATACTAAATAAACTACACGATTTCGAACGAACCGCGTAGTTTAAAATCAGCTGCTATTTTATCACGATGCCCAAGCACGCGCACTTTGGCCGCGATGTCTTATTTGCCAAGTTCTGACATAGCCGATACGAGCAGTGGCGAGCGAGATGTCTGCAAGCCAATAATGCATAACTACCTGCCATACATATCAAACGGATTGCGAAAGGTTGTTATCATCAGCGACATAAAATGTGCATCGTCGTTCGCGAAGCGGCTGAATTTCGAACTAGCCAATATAAAACGATAATCGAGAGAAATTCTTGTCTCACGCACGGCACATTATAACGTCAGTTATATATAGTATACACTATACACACAGCGAGATCATCTGGCATTTTTTTCTGTCATCGCCGCGAGTGAAATTAATATCATTGCAGGGCTCCTCCGGTCGGTCATCGATGCTGTAACGCCTTCTCTTTCGGTCATGAATATCTATTGATTCGCGAGGTTATCGCGAGACTGTGGTTGGACCGTGTTAGTCTCGTCGCAGTGATTACAAAAATAAAGGAGTGAGTGAGTGTGTGTGTGCAAAAAAAATATTAATAAGTAAAAATAGGTAACTACCAGGATAATCATGGCTCAATGCAAATTAACCGCACGCGAATTCATCGCCAATGGATTCACACCTCAAGTGGCGGCTGTTTGCTCGCCAAATGCCGAAGCCACCTGCCAAAAGAATAATCTCAGCTTTATTGAGATGCTTCAGCCGTTTAGCAGACTTGCCACTGAAGGTATACATTTATTTTCTGCTCACAATGTACTTTTGTCATTTCTAAGCAGCTTTCACTGCTTACCAATTTTCAAAATACTATTACAATTACTTGCTTCACAATTTGCAAGTGTAAATAAAAAATAATCTTGCTCTAGGTCATTTTAGAGATCCTCAAGGAACAATGGTTACTGTTCGTAATCTTCAGATATCTATAAAAGATGTTAATTATTGCCCTCCAGAACCAAATGTAGCTAGAAAAATGCTTAATGAATCTGTCAGTTCCAATTATAATGAGCGGAAAACAATTGTCAACACTGGAAATGTGAGCTTGGAAATTCCAGCATCAATTCCTTGGTTTGAAGCTTGGAGGGATACTTTTTTCAATGTGCAATTCCCATCTGATCATGAGTTCATAAAGCATTTTTTAGCTTGTATGATTGTTGTATCAACTGCAGATGAAAATCCTCTTGACAAAATTCAGCAGATTGGAGCACAATTAAATCAAAGTGTACCTGGCAAATTACCAAAATGGTTTAACAACAATGCCCTTAGATATTATATCCTTATTTATGACACCTTTCAAGATGACAGAAAAAAGTTAGTCACCAATATACATAAAACAACTTTTTCATCAACTTTTTATCATCTAATATATAAATTATTTTTTAGAGCTGAAGAAATTTTTTCTGAAATGAAAAATATTTATGGACCCAACAACTGTTTTTTTCTGTCAATGAATTCAAGACCATTTAATATTTCAGAAGACAATACTCACCTACCAGATCCATGGAGTCAATTTATAGTCAAGCATTCTGATTTAACTGGTATCAGCGATCAAGATAACTCACCTCGTTCTCCAGGTGACACATTAGGAGTTGCATCAATGCCTAATGCAGTGAATACTGAACCAGAAAAGTAAGAGCAATTAAATTATATTTAGAATTAAAAGCTATTACCTACTAACTTTTTTAATTATTACTAGGTCAACTAGTCAAGCTGGGACTCCAGTTGCTCCCAGAAATTTTAATTTGATGACTCCTGATCGAAATGAAAATATTAGTATTGCTACAGAGCTTACAGACTCACAAATAAGTCAATTGGAAATTGCACAAGAAGTAGTACCCACTAGCAATATAATTATTCATCCTTTAAGTCCTGAAAGTGAACTCCCTCCTAAGATGAATAATGTAGATAATATGAATTCTCAAGTAGATGGTATGCCACCCATTAATGCTAATGTTTGGGTAGATTCTCCCACACAAGTATTATCACATCATGGTGCTAGACTTTCAACTGAAGATATTGAACGGTTGAAAATGATGATATCAGAATTTTGTCTTAAAAGTCTTTTGCCTTATGTTGAAAGGCAAATAATTTTATTGAATGATCTGATATCTAATAAAAAAGGAGTTAGCAGATCTTTGTTTAGTGCGACTAAAAGGTGGTTTGGAACTAGTAAACCCGGTGTTCCAGGATCTGTCCCAGCTAATGCAGTAATGTAAGTTTGTTAACTTAAATCTCAAATACTTCAAATTCTATTACTTCACTCAATACTTTCATACTTTTTTCACAGATACACATCAGAATCTCCAGAATTGCAGTTAAGACGATTAGGCGATTTATGTTTTATGTTTGGTCATTATTCACTGGCTTACCAAGCTTACCATAATGCGAAACGTGATTTTGCTGCAGATCAGGCATGGGTGTATTATGCAGGTGCCTTAGAAATGGCTGCTTTAAGTGCTTTTATGATGGATGAAATGATAAGAAAAACTATTGAATATATGGACGACGCTATAACAACATACTTAAATACTTGCAAAATGCCACAGTTTGCCACAAGGGCTACTTTACTGAGTGCAGAATGTTTAAAAAACCGAGGTTTATATGGAGAAGCAGCAAAGCAATTAATTCGAATGACAAGTGAAGATTCGGACTTGCGCTCAGCATTATTACTAGAACAGGCTGCGTATTGTTTTATATCACCAAAAATGGTCAGAAAATATTCGTTTCATGCTGTTTTAGCTGGACATAGATTTTCAAAAGCTGGTCAAAGAAAGCATTCTTTAAGATGCTACAAACAAGCATATCAAGTCTATGAGAATAAAGGTTGGTCACTGGCCGAAGACCACATTCATTTTACAATTGGCAAACAAGCTGCAGCTCTAAAATGTGTAGATGAGGCTGTGATTGTTTTCCAAAAACTTCTGAGTGCATCTAGTAAACAGCCTGCGCTTCAGCAAGCTGCATTTTTACGAGAATTTTTATACATTCATGATGTAAGTATTCATAACGTTTCTTTTAGACAATTAAATTATTATTATTATTATTATTATTATTATTATAATTTATTTTAATAGCAAGCACGTCAAGAGTCGAAACTACTACTTTCCAATCTTCCAATATTACCGTTACCATTGGTTGAAGATCAGCAGATCAAAGTATTGTTGGGACCTGTAATTAAATTAGGCAACAACATAGAATTAGTAAGTCAGATTTTATCATACAGTCAAGATGCTGATGACTGTAGATGGGCAAAGTTAGAAGAAATTTTACTATCCAAAGCCCAACGTACAGCACCAATGATTTTCAAACCAACCGTAACAATTTACACCGATACTAGCAATAATTCCACTAAGCCAAATGCAGTAATCAACGAGCCAATTTATTCATGTATAACATTATCAAATCCTTTGCTAATACCCTTGCCTTTAGCTAATTTAAAATTAATTTGGTCATTTGATGATGGTCAAAATATTTTTAATAATGAAACTTCTGCAGAATTTGAAGATATTGTTGTAGAAACTTTAGAAATTGAAGCAATGACTATACAACCAGTATCTAAGCATACTATTGTGTTATCTTTGAAACCTAAAAAAATAGGCCAACTTAAAATTATAGGTTTGAGTTATGATTTATTAAATCCAGTTCAAAGTACAGATCAGGCTAATAATACATCGAGCTCCATTAGAGGAAAGCGCGAATTCAAACTTCAAGGACCAAAATTGAAAAATGTCAAAGAAAAAGCTGGACTCTCGCTGTATGGAGTAGATTTAAGATTAGATATGAATGTAGTAAATAAAGGGCCATTCTTGCAGGTACATTTAGACATTTTTTAAATAAATTTTTTTTTTTAATTAAAATATCATAATAATTATTTATATTCGAAAATTATTTTGCAGATAACATTTTCTCCTATTTCTCCGGAAATGCTGTGTGGTGAACTTCAACAAATGGAAGTTACTTTGAAAAACATTGGAGGTGCTCCATTGAAGAATATTTACCTTGGCTCTACAAACCCAAAACTATTTGCTCTTTCAAATCATGATCAAGATTATAATCAAACAAAAAAAGCTACCGATGATCTTGTGATGAAAATTAATTTACCACCTGAAAAAAATGATATCCTCCAAGTTGGAGATTCAATGAAAATGACTCTGTGGGTTTGTGCTCCTCACATGAAGGGAAACCACAGACTGGATCTTTTGTTTTATTATGAAAATATCGATCCGAAAAATATTCCGAGGTATAGGCTTAGCCGTCACAGTTGGCATTTAACAGTTTTAGATTCGATTCATACAAGTGTCATAGCCCGACGAAGTGCGATTATCAAGGACAATTTATCAGTGTTAAATCTTATACTTCATGTGAAAAATTCAAATCAAGTTCATGATCCGTTCATGAATGAAATTGAGCTGACTGATATTGCTTTTCAAAGTGATAAGTGGGTATTGAATAAGTCTGATGATCCATTGGAGAGTTCTTCTATACAACCTCAAGAAATGATGCACTTTATAATGAAATTGGTTGGGAAAGATGATGTTAAATCCAATTTTTCAAGTATATCTTTAACGAAAAACCAATTAGGAACTAATAAGAACATACCGTATTTGACATTCATCAAGAAACGACATATAAAGCCTCTTGATGCTAATGATCATTTTGTAGATAATTATCAAAATCAAGTAAAAAATGATAAAAATCCCTCAATTACTGCCCTGAAACTAGACTCAATTGTAATACTCAGATGGAATGCTAAAGTCACTGAAGGAGGATCAGTTATTAGAAATGCAATTGGTCAACATTATGTTGAATTGCATTATTTGAATAAACCTTATAATTATCCTACCCAAAAAATGGATGTACCTCTTGAAATTTCAGGAAAGTTGAAAGTTTTTGGTCCTGATGTTAATTTACCTAGTTCTCAAACACCTAAAGTTGACAAACATCTTGCAATTGAATGCCATAAAAATCTTATATGGTTTTACTTGACACATTCCAAAGAAGTATATCATGACTTTGCATTTAGTCGTATATGTATAGTACCCGTTACTGTTGTTTTACAAAATACTTCAGATAGTTGCACTAATGTCAAAATAGATACTATTGGAATAAGCAGGTTTGTCTTTTTCTAAAAATTTAAAAAAATTAATAATATCAGTTTATTCAATATGATTTTTTTTTTAGTCAAACTACTTTACCAAATATTAGAACACAACTTTACTCGCCTCAAGCTTCAACATCTTTTCGTTATGCTGGACAAACATCAGTAATTTGTGATTTAGGACCACATTGTCAAAAAAAAATCCAATTGAAAGCCATTTTACCAAGCTCTGGGACATATGATATGTCATCAAGATTAGAAATAAGTGCTAAAATTGGTGATGAAGCTGATTATACATTACAAAAATGGCATGTGGAAAGTGTTTGCATTGTCAGCAACGCAAAAACCACTCCAAAATGAAGAACATTGTTGAAAATTTATTTTTGCCTGCACATTAGAATTTTTAATTCCACGTCTAAATAATCAATTACATTGGTCTTATTTGAAATTTTTAAATTATTACACTCTGTATACTACCATGCAATTTTCTATATGTAAATATGTAAGAAGTACATATAGTGTGGTGCCTTAATACCATGCATGCATATTAGAACTATTAAATTATATTTTCTTGGTTTATGAAAGCCAGGTGCTTTACTATAATTAATATAATAAACTTTTTTTAATTGAGCCAACCATCGTTGTATTCAGTGTGAATGTATAAAAGATTGTACAGTTTAGATTTAATAATGTACATGTGTTATTAAAATTTTATATAAATATAAAAATAGTAACTTTGTAAATGGTGTATTAGTTGTTATATATTTATTAAAGTCATTAAATTTTTATTTATCTGTATATTTTTTGAAAACCTTCTACTATTAATAAAAACTATCAATACTTTAATATTGCTTTATAAATAATGTTTTATTGATATAAAAACAACTGTACTTCTAGTACAAATTATTTACATTTGATTATAAGAACTTTTTCAAATGACATTGATAATTTTCATACAATGGTGCACATTGTGGGTTTTCTCCATAATTTCAATACAATTTTTCTGTGAAGTAAATTATGAATAATAACTATACATTTTCACTAAAATATTTTTTACATATTTTACTTAGAATTATCTACCACACTGATAGTTTAGGTACAGCTTTACTTGACATACCTCATTCACTCATATTATTACTTCTAATTTGTGAAAGATGTGAACTTAATCAGTGAGAATTCAGCAAAATCATTAGCCCAAACTCACTCAATGAGTTTAAAAGTGATTCTTATCAACATATCATTGTGATAACAAAGCAGACATTTATTATAATTAACTGTAAACAAAAATCATTGAGCTTTTGGTTTAGCAGTTTTCACTTTTTTCTGCTTTTTGAGACCATTTAAATTTGATTTCAACAAATTCCAATATGCTTGTTGGAACTTATTGACATCTTTCATGTGAACCTAAAAGAAAATATTTTTATGTATATTATGGTTGTCAAAATTTAATCTCATATCTATAAATAAACTGTGTATTCAAACTGAAGAATAATCAAAAGTATTTTCCAAAATACATCAGAGTAAAACGTCAACTTACCACTGTTGAAATTTTCTTTGAACGATGCGACGCCCTTACCAGACACAAATACTCCGAAGGTGTTGGATGTGGTGGTCGTCCTTCCCTAGGCGTTGGTTTCTGGATTCCATCGACTGTAATTCGAAGTATCATTAGCATTAATTTTGTATTAAAAATTTCATCTAAAATTTAATAATTCAGTTAAACTTATTTACATCTTTTCACTGTTAGTCTCACTGAGCCAGCTGTACGAGATTTTTCAAATAACTTGTTTAATTGCGCGATAAACTGTGGAAAGAAAAATAAGATCTGTTATATATTGGTTGTCCGTAAATGTTAACATGAATCCAAAAACATAAACAATAATTTACCGCATCATTATCGAGTAGAACCATGATTAACAAGCATATGTGTTTCTGATCAGATATTTGCACCAAAATATCTGGCGTCGTCAGCTATTAGTACGAATCTTAAAATTTTCAGGTTAAGTTTTATCACATATGCCGAAGCGGCACTGTACACAGTTAACAGTACTGTCACTTTTGCATGGACGGCACGCGGAATAATTGTGACAGGTCGTGTTGTGGTTTTTAGGTTTTATGACTTTGGTTTGCTTCTTTCATGAATTATTCAGTATATTCACTAAGGTATGAACAATTAACTGTTATTGAGTTTTAAGATAAATTTTGTAGGCTTAATCTTTCTTGTTAATTAATACATAATCTGATAATTCAATGCAAAATAAACAATACCATAGAGGAGAGTTCTCAAAAATTTCAAACAACTATGCAAAGGGTATATAAATAATTTTTATTTTTATTTTGAATTGAGATTCAGGTAGTGTATATAAATGCAATAAGTTTATATGGCTCTGAAAAAATATATAAGATTGGCAAAGTAAATATACATCTTGAATTAGAACTAGGCACATTTATGCATCATCTTACTTGAAGTAATTGATACTTCCATTATTATTTAAATTTTAAATTAATGCGTTTATTGAGTTAATTTAAATATATACGTTAGATAAACTTTTCAAAATGCTGAATGATCTCTCAAATCCTCCAGCTCTTTGCACCTGTCTTTTAAAGAATCAGGATCAGCTAGGAATTTTTGCCATAGCAGAAGCTTTTCTCTGTCAAAGTTGGGCGAACTCGTTTCCTTCTGCAAAAAAGGAAAAAAAATTTAAAATTTTCACAAGGAAACTTATTCAAATTATCATTTAACTACTTACTATCATATTTTTCAATTTATTTCTTATCAATTCTACATTGCTTTCCAGCTGCTCTATTTGTTTGACAGCCTTATCTATTTCATTTTGAACATTACACGGTACAGCTACAAAATTAGGCGTTGGACCACTGGTTATTTCTCTTTCAAAAAGCTTCATAGTATTCTCTTCTCTGTAAAATAACCAATATAAAAAAAAAAAATAATGTGATACCAAAAGTTGTAAAATGTTTGAAAAATACTTACAATTCTTTTGAGCTTTCAATCATTTCTGTTAGTTTTACATCTAATAGAATTTTTAATTTTTCTGAGTTATCACATTTTAAGTCATCATAATATTTTTCTGCTGAATAAAAGTCTTCTTTTAATTCATCAATAGATGACATTTCTATAAGTGATTTACAAAACGCATTTTGATTCTTAGATGAACATATTAATGAACTGTATTCACTTTGCATTTTTTGCATACTTTCCTAAATAAAAATTACACATATGATTAAACTTTCAGTTTTAATAAAATTTATCATAAACTTTAAGAGATTTTTCACATCTATTGTTTCACTGACATTTCTTAATGATGATAAAGTATATTCCATGGACAAATAATGCCTTGCATCCAATACAAACTGTACTATTTCATTTATCCTGTGAATTTGTAATTCAAATAACATACATAGTAGTGTAGAAAATGCATGGCCATTATCTTTGGCAAGGGTACTCAAGCGTTCTAATTTTGACACCTTATTTCTCCGCCTCTGCAATCTACATTCTGCTTCATCTGTAAGCACTTTTACTACCTTGGATTTTGCATATTGATGAGCATAATCAACCAACTGACGCTCTTGCAAAAGATTTACGTTTTCTTCCAAAAAATCTCGACTTTTCGTTAACTCAGCTATTTCTGCCCTAGGGTCAGGAGAATGTATTGATCATTTTTTTTATCAAGTGTTGTTTATTATAAATTTTTTCATATTAAAGGTTTACCTTGCCATGACTGGTGTGTTAGGTATTTTCAAATTCATGTTATTATAAATATCCATAGTATATTTAGCTAAGCTTTTACTAGATTCTTCTTCTACTTTAGCCAAAATTTCATTCATTTTTGAAAGGAATATGCTGAAAGGTAACAAAAAAATAAAATGATTTTAAAATTATAACCCGTAGAAGATAATAAAAAATCAAATTTGAATAATTTCATACTTATTTTGACATGAAATAAGTTCTCTTAATTTTTCATTTTCTCCACTTTCATTTGAAATACTACTATGCTGATCCGAACTTGAAATGCTTTCACTGTCTTTTTGAGATGGAATAGAAAATTGTCTTTTTGCATAAGAATTGAGATATTCATTATAAGTCTCCAGTTGTTTAATATAAAGTTCAATTGGCATATGAGTCCACATGCAATTTTCACCTTTCTGAAAATTTTTGAATATTCATTTATCTTTACAAAAATTACACAATTTATATTAATATTTATAATTATATTGTTAAAATATTTACTTTCTGGACAGCATCTATATAAGTAGTGGCTAACAAGTCTACTGTTTTGGAAAGTTGTTGATGACATGAATTAAAATCTTCAATTACTGTGAGACAGCTTTCATAAGCTAGTTTTACTTTTATTTCTTCTTTTTTGCATGCTTCATCTTTTTTATCAATTTCAGCATCTAGTTGTTCTTCAGTCTCTCTAAAAGTAAAATAAACTTTATATAAATATCTCCATACAGATATCTTTACACAGTTATTTAAGTAAAAATTGTTATTACTTGAGATTTATTATACTTTCTTCAATGGTTTGCAAATATTCTACATCAGGCTCATATAATTCCTTTTCAACATTGTAATCCAATTCAGATTGATTGCTATTCCAGTACTCAGATTCAACTAATTTCAGTAAATCTGGGCAATCTTTTGTAGCCTCTTTGAGGGCCAAGTCCAGCTCAGCACCTTCCAGCCAAGTATCATTTTTCTTTATATGTTCTTTTCTATTAAATACAAATTATTAAATTTGTGGTATTAGGTATCAAAATTGTAATAAAAAAATTATAATTGATACAGGAAACTTACAATTTTACACATCCATCCGACAAGACGTTGTCAATGCTTATGTTTGAATAGAACCAATGCAGAAACGGTAGTACTGCATCATCTTCAATTAGTTTATCCAAAACATTCGGCGTTATACTGCTTGGCAAACTTGGCACGAGTTCCTTCAGTTTTTTATGCAATTTTTGACCACATAAACTATTCATATTGATAACAACAAGCACTAGAAAAACAATTTATAGTTTACTTAGTAAAATACAACGGCTACCGAAGACGCTTTATAACGACTCAAATAAACATAACACAGCCGGCGCCGTCATGCGTGAGAGAGATGGAGCGAAAATAAGCAGCTGTCTGCTCCAAGCGGGCTATATAAAATTAACTAGTTATGAAGTTGTGACTTGAAGTTTGAAAAATTTTCTCTATTTTATTAGTAACCTCCATTTGAAATCATTTTTTCCTTTGCTATTTCGGTTATTTTCCTCAATTTGACTGATTATCATTCATTTTTGCAAAACTAACAATTTTTTTATTAAGTCTTGTTGTTCGCTAAAATTCTTATGTGCATTTGAGTTTTGTTAAAGAAATTTTTTATATATTTACATCAACTTCGTGCTTTGAATAAAATAATAATAAGGAAAATTAAATTGACACAGGTCGATAAAGAAGATCAAGTGAACCTGCTTTAAAAATTCAAAAAGACCTGCGGCGCTCAAATCGTCCGTTCGCCGTTAAAATACTAGGAAATTGTTGACAACACAAAAAAGCGAAATCGCCGGCCCACGTTGTCCTTCACGTGTGTCAAACGGCGGCTTTTGAGACACATTACGTTCCGAGGAAGCGTGCGAGAAGCATCGTTTGAAGACAACCACGAGCATCATTGTGTGAAAAAAGTTTACAAAAATGGTTAAAAAAGCAGAGATGAACGTGGAAATTAATAGCAAATCTGAGAACGTTTACAAAAATTCGTATCAAGTAAACGATTTATCTTCGCTTATCAGCAACTTGAAATCTTTACAAAAAGATGTCAACGACGTTTTGACGAAAATTGTCAACGAAACTGGCTCAAACAATCAAGGTAAGAATTTTCAATCGACCAATTGACGTTTCGATAATTAAACCATAAGTTTTCAATTGTGATAATCGAATGTCGATTACAGTTTCGAACGAGATGGAAGACGATGAAGACGACGAAGATGACGATGAATCGGATGGCGGCGACAGCGACGATGGCAATCCAAAGCCAAAAATTAGCAAATTAGAGTAAGAGATCACTCATACGACGCCTTTTATCTACTTGACACGACAATTGTTGTTAGTTTTCCGGGTTTTTTGTAATTAATAAATGAAAAAGATGCCTCGGCATGTAAAGTAAAACGTCTGTGTTATACTTTTAATCATTATTTTACACGAATACGCGCACGGCGCAACACACAACAATTCCCGGCGCATTCCTCGTGCTCTTCATTTCTCACGTTACATTTCGCTCCGTGCAGTCAGCACCTTCGAGAGCGCAGCGCACAGTTGCATGCCCTATACCGTATTTGTGCCTGTGTCTATATACGATGCTGTGTAGTACTTGCATATACGTAATGAGGAGTACAAAGTAATGTATATAGACGCCGGAGCGGCAGTTTTCTCGCTCTCTCTATCTTTCTCTCTTTCTCGAATACATATAGGAGACGAGTCGCGCGGAAGCCGCAATTACGTGAATGGCAGTAAAACGCCGCAATATATGTATTATACGTAAATGTAAACAAAAAAAGACGACGAATAAAAACGCGCCTGGAGCTTATAAGCTGACGTATCAACTCCGTGTTTACTCTAGGCACAAGTTAACGCACGACTCCATTAGTTAAGTCACTCCTGCACAAGGCAACGGAGCTTGGATTTTCATATACACTATAAATTCGTAAGTTGCGAGACGAATTGAGATTGAAATTTTCACTCGATCGATTCGCTAATAATTTTCTTTCTAACCTTTTACTAATGGTCGCGTAACACTTGTGCTAACAATTAAAACAATTTACAGTTCGTTCAAGTGTAAAATTGAGTGAAATCGTTTATTTCTCGCAGATGCTAAAATGTCGACGTCGCTGTCGAATCAGGCCCAGATTCGCTACGTTATCGAATGGTTTCAAGAGTGGTCCGAAATGCAGAGGGATGACTTTTTGGGCATTCTGATGGAAAGATGCAGCAATCCTGGTCTTGTCAATGGTTTGCTGAGCGGACTGGAAAATTTAGGTAAAGATGACTCCAATAGGCCACCCAGTCTGTTTCAGTGTCGTATTAAATTATTTAGAGAATGGAGTCACAATTGGTCTGATGCAGAAAAAGAAACAATAGTCATGTCTATTAAGAACATTGATCCAAAGTTTGCTGAAAAGTATGAGAAAAGACTGAACGAAGGTAAAAATGGTGAACACCATGCTGATAACGCAGAAAATCATGTGGAAGCATAAAAAGAGAAAAAAAAAGAAGAGAATTAAGACTCTGTTATTTTTTATAAACACAAAGATGTAAAAAAATTTGTTTAATTGTCAAAATTAAGAAGAGACTAAATAACTAATATTTTTGTGATGGATGAACGTTCCACGAGCTCATATGAGAATGCCCAATTTTGGCATAATTCTAGTCCATCACTTGTGTTTGTAGTTATACTAACATTCCACCAAAACAGTACTCAAATTTATTTTAATCGTATATCATTTTTATTTCATTGTACAATACAACTTCATAATATTACATTAATTTACACTGGTGGAAAATATTTTTTAGAAAATCTACCTTAATCCTGCAATCATATTTACAATTTAACTTTTTGAAGAGATTTTCAAAAATAACATTTACACTTTTAATTTCGACAGTTGAAAATATTTTTATCTATTGCTTTAATTCTTCATTGCAATTTTCCATCAATGTCAAAATTGTTATTTATCAATACATTTTAGTCAGCTTAAAATGATTAAAATATTTGTTATCATAATAATGTACAAGTTTAACATAAACAAACACTAACATTGATTAATTAATAATTTGAGTATCACAGATCTCTGTAGTAAAATTTGGTATATGTATAATGATAATATAAATAATAATGATTATAATTATACGGTGCCACTAACATTGAATCACTGTGTGGTTTGGCATTCTCGTAACGCTCGAGCAATTGTTATTTCATTGTAGTTATAAATATTGTCGTTTGAATTGTTATTAATTAATTTACGACCGAGCATTGCTATATTTGTAATATTGTAATAACGTGGTTTAATACATTCATAAAATAGAAATTTTACTTATTATTCGCAATTATTGCTTAAATGAATTAACTGATAATTATTATTATTTAACGTGCAAGAGCAACGTATCTTACACTATTTGAGTATAATAAAAAGCTTGATCAAGCCCATATTTATTCAACTCATTTTTACTACGTCCTTTATGAACAATCATTTTATAATCGTTTTCATAAAGAATTCTGCTTTAACCACTTTGTACAAATTGTTCTAATAGCGTTCTGACCGAGACGATCTGCTTCCTTTAAAATTCTTCTAATATCGTAAGCCCTTTGATTTTTTACAGCAAGAAGGTAGGCTGCTTTCAGCTGCTTGCTTTCGATGTACGCGCTTATCTGTAATAATAGTTCAAATCATTGTAATTTTTTTCTTTTAATTTTTGAGACTATAATCGACTCATTGTTCTTACCTTAAGTTCCACGTCGGTGATCAATTTTATCAGAGAATCTACGTTGTCTTTACAGTCCGATTGAGAATCAGCTTGATTGGATAACAACTGCTTCACACAATGTGTTAAAACACGATCAGAGACAGCTAGTGAGTCCGGCGCACCAGAACTTCGGCAACACTTTATCAGCTGTTCGATCGAGCTGACTTTTTTCTCTAACGCTAACACATGGCCCGCCAAAGAATATACCTTGTGTTGTTTTAAATTATAATCTGTAGAAAAAAGAATCAATTCAAATATCTATGCTTTGATTTTTTTAAATTTATGAAAAAGTCATCGAAGAACTTACCTTGTACTATTCTGAAGGCTATACCGAATCCTTCCTCCGTATCCCGTCCACAGAGAATAGCGAGTACGGCGAGTCTAGTCTTTTCATGTTGGTTACCAAATAACGTTGGAAGTTCAATGGAATGTGTGTTATCCACCTGATCCATACTATACAAAATTTTAAGGTACGGAGCGACCGATCGACCTTCTCTCTCGGAATTACCCAAAAATTTTGCGATTTCCAATTGTCGGGAGATCGTGTTGATGTGCTTGTCAATCTCCGACGGTTCCATCTCCATCGTCAAGCCGCTGTGCGACGAGCCCACACTTTTTCTCCTTTTTTTAATACTCAATTGATCGATGCTCAACTCACTTTCCAGATGTCTTTGCGCGTCGACAAGGAAGTGCACGTTTCCACAGAGATCGGTGTAATTGCGAGCTTCGTTTTTGTAAAATCGTATGCAGGTCATGGCAGCTCGAATAAAGTCGCGCATAAACAGCTGCAAATGATACAGAGTATTGAGATAGCCCTTTTTATCGAGATTGTGGCACGTGTAGCAGAGATACTTTTTCCAGGCGAGTAAACTCGCGTCATCAGCACGCATGGCGTGGAGCAATTTTTCGGTATGTCCCATGTTCAAGCAGCGCAGATAAAGAGAATTGAAAAAGAGTTCGGGTTCAAGACAATTTTCCATGACGAAGCCGAGGCATTTTTCGAACTGTTCGTGCTTCACATAAAATTCTAAAATCGACGAGGAGCTGCCGTAAGTAAGAAGATAGTGGAGGCTCTCTTCGTAGTATACATTGTGCGAGGTATAATGGTGTACGAACGAGCACTGGCCTTGACTGACCGCTTTCAAAGTGTTTAGTGTCGTCAAGATTTCATGAGCCGCAGTGGCAGATTTGGGCTGAGATCCTGGCTGATCGGGACTCAGCTGACTTTGGTTTTCTAAAATTTGTAAAATTTCTACCAACAGAGGCGGATCTTTGGTCGGTCGATTTTTGAGCGTGTGACGTTTGATACGGCGACCCGGTGAGTAGCTTTTCGCGTCGTCAAACGGACGCTGACTCTGCTGCATTTCTACGGATTCCTCGCTGCTGCGACTCGAAAATTCTGTATCTGGATAGCCCAACATAACCCAGTCGTCGAGATTTTCGTTGAGGACTTTTTCCATGCAATGAGAAAATTTCGTCCGAGCTCGATCGAGATAGCCAGCCTTCAGACAAGCTTTGCCCCAAGCAGCCCAGACACCCTGAGTATCCAAACCAGTTTTCGTACTGACGTCCAACGCTAGAGTCCAATGCTCCTTTTCGGTGAGCAAGTCTCTCAATTTTCTGAATGCGTGATCGTCCAGGCTTTCGTCCGTAGGAATCAAAGCCAAGCAGTCCGATTGCACGAGAGTTGCGATGAGATCGACTTGGGACAAAAATCGATCGCAGTGCGTGAGTCCTGCATTGAGTCCGAGCTTTACACATTTGACCTTAACGGCTACCAGCAGAGAACGAATCATCTTGATTAGTAAGCCATGATCGACTTCCGGGTTGACTCTTCCACCCGGTCCGGGTTGCAGCAGCTTTTTCATTTCATCGCATCGGTCCAATAGAAAGCTCACGTAGGCCTTGTGATCGGAATGCAAACTAAGAATAGCCAAGCAAAGCGATACGTTTGGCGCGTGCTCGAACGAGAATTCCTCTCGAACAGTTCGATTGTGAGCGTCATCCTTGCTGAGTCTCCAGCATTCGAGGACTACACTGCTAGCCGCTGAGCTCGAACCTTGAGACTGCATGAGAACCGTTTGATGCTTACAATCGTCACAGACACGCACGAGCACCGATTTGGGATAGCCTTGAACCTGCATACGTTGCTGCGAGCACGAGGCACAGACGACACGACCGCAGCGTCGACAATGGTGACGTCGATTGAACATGGAAAAAGTAACCGCTAGGCAGCACATACACTTCCGAACTTTCATGTTGGAGACCCATTCCTCTTTGGTTGGTACAGTGGCCGGCATTATGAATTCGCCACTTCGACTGTCATTGTCTATCGATATCGTCCAGGCATTTGAATCTTTAGATTTGAAATCCAAACCGTCGCGATGAGTCGATACTCTAAAATCCAAAGACTTGGCCGCGTAAAATCGTACGATTCTGTCGAAGATGTCAACTGGAAAATCGACTCTCTTCGCATTTCTGAATTTTTCTATCACATCCATTATCTTACTAAGACATTCGAATTTGCAGTTCATCAAAAGCTGCTCCATGAGGAGCAGAGGTTCTTTAATCAAATAAAGATAATGCGGGCGGTCTCTGGATAAGACTTGAGAGAGCATCTCCACTCCCAACCGAAGTCTACAGTTGGAATTTTTATGATGCTCTTCGCAATTTTCGAGCAACCAGTCGGATAAAAATTTCATTGCTCTCATCGAAAGAAGTTTCTTTAGAGATGCTTTGCAAATTCTCAAGGATTGTTTCACCGGTAATGAAGATAACAACTGTAAAAATATAATTCATTAGAAAATTCAAGATCCATTTTTTAAATTAAATATTGAAATACACCTACCTTACGAGCATTTTCAAAATTATTATCGTCATTTATTAATAACCCAATCAATAAATCTTGAGTTACCAGAGGCTGCATCTCTACTGGAAATGCCTGATACTCCAACCATTCAAGACATAATTCGTATCTCTCAGCTTCGATCAAAGAATGTACTATGCAACCTGGGTCAGATTTTTCCGTACAATATACAACGTCGTGCCAAGTTGCCTCCTGGGAATCGAGTTCTTTGCCTTTGCAAAAAGGCAACATTTTGTAAAAGACTGTGACTCGACACAATGTTTCATTCAATCGGAAGCGACAATGTGACGGCAGTTTATGTTTGTTTCTATGGTCGATCACATGATGTAGAGCATCTTGGCATAAGTGAACCGGCCACTTGTCCATGTTGAATAAAATAGTCTGGGCTAAAACGTTAACATCTTTAATCTGATGAATATATTGCTTAATTAATTTAGCATCTATGCTGTCCATAGAATGAATCAACTGGTAGAGTAATTTATCCTTTAAACATTGTACTTCAGTATATTTATAAAGTAGTCTGGGAGGTAAAGCATTGATAACTTCAAGACAGTTGGCAATTCTATCGTCTTTAATACATCTTTCCCAATATTCCCAAAGATCGTTCAGACATATATTTTCTTGTATGCTAGCAAGAGTTGGGTTGCAATCAAATAAGGCATTAGCTAATGTAGTTACCCACGAAGCGTTAGTATGATTTTCAAAACAATTAGTTCGCTGAGCATTGTCGCAGCTACTGTCACTAATCGATGCCGATATGTCTTTGTGAATTTTTTTTACCAGATACGATAATAACCAGCAATGATCTTCCAGGTATGACAGAACTGTCGGTTTTATCGATCTTGAACTCCATGACATTAAGTTGTAATAGCTCGAGGTTGTGCTGCGTTTCATGCTCGATTCGATCTTTGGAGGTGATAGTTTATCGTAATGAACAACGACTTCGTAGGATACGGTAACAGGTTGATATTCACGCATCACCTTATCAGATTTACTAAAGTAGTTTTGTATAAGAGATGTGTTATGATTAGACTGATTGATGATCATATTGCTGTAATCAACATTCGATACATTAATCTCCATAAACTTTTCGTAGCGTTCGACGATTTCAGGAAATTTGTACAGGCGCTTTCCTTCTCTTGATGCTTCGTTGTATTCTGAATCTTTTTTACAATATATCTCAAGGTAATCGCTCAGAGCTTGATTTAAATCCTTGTTTAGCGTATCAGGATGATAAATCTGTAATAATAAAAATTATTTATTCTGCACTTTTTGCCTTTTAATACAAGAAATGTTTTTACACTTACGCGAATAGCCGGTGATTCATGGAATTCATTAGTCATGGCAAAAATAACTCGAGGATCGTGAACGAGATCCAAGTCTTGCCAGGCCACTTCATTGATATCGTCGGTTTTGGAAAAATATTCTGGCTCCCATGACATCGAACCCAGCAATTTCGATCTCAAAGTTGCCAATGAGATACGCCCTAAATCTCCAATCAAATAATTAATTGAAGACAAAGATACGAAATGTCTCAACGAATTGATTGGCAGATCGGACACCCAAACAGTAAGTAGTGCGTGTAAAAATAGTAAATTCCAAAGATTCAGGAAAAATGCTACAGTGTGATCGCCAACTGACAATTCACTTAAATCTAAGGTTTCAAAACAACAAGTTTTATCTAAAATTTGTAAAATCTCGTTGTCCTTGCATAAATCGACCATATCCTTGCTTGATACTCGAGGACAATCAGGGTACAATCGTTTGATGGTTTGAAGGAGCTCCGATAAAATGTCAACGACGCATTGATTCGGGTCCTGATTTTTATCCTGGCTTTCAGACTGAAAACAAGATGGAAATAATTTTGGGATGAAAATTGTTTTTTTAATTACTATAATCGAAATTAAAATTTACTCACGTTTCTAGAGGAACTATTTTTGTTTAAAATTATACTACCCCACGAGTCACTTTTGACGGAGCATAACGAGTCGTTATAAGTGAGTTTTGGGCAGCAATTAACTAATACATTATGAACTAAATGAACTCCAAGCTTATTAGCAATTTTTTCTAGACTTTCAGGAGCGACATTCAAATCGAATATTTGATGTCCTAAGTATGAGTCCACAGTCTGGCTCAAAAGAGCCGTTTCAGTACTTATTGCGCTACGTTCGTCTAGAAGAAAACCACATGTTCTTTATAAGTCCAATTTGAATCAATTTAAAACAAATGTAAACTTACCATTAGGAACAATCGATTGCAGAACCGTCAAATGGAACATAATTTTTTTAAGGTAATTATAGTCGCCGGCACACATGTCGACGATTTCCTGGAATATTTTTTGACCCGCGAGCATACAATCACCTTTGTCATTTTTCTCCACCGCCGCGTCGAGTACGAATTGCGTTTCTTGAAACTTTGCAATTTTGTCAGAAAGTTGTTTCCAAAATTTCGATTTTTCCTTCCACTCGGCCAAGTTCAAGGGTAAAGTGGCATCCAACAGAAGTTCGGGCACGGTCTTGGTCAGTTTTGTTTCACGAACAAGTCGGTAAACATCGTTAAAGAAATCAGAATGGCGCGTGTTGTCCAATTTTTGTGAACCTTTCAAGTACTTCATAGCGACCTCGAGCAAACTCGTGGAAGATTGACGGGTGGTTAAAGCAAGATCCAGAGCGCAAAACGTTAAAATTTCTCGAGCTCCGGTCTGATCGCTATTTAAAAGACGAGCGGTAGATTCTTGCGAGGCAATGAAAGTTTCGATTTGATTAGTCAGACGTGAAGTTTGATAACCACCTTGAGCTGCGCGTCGAACATTCTGTACAATTTTTTTTATTATTATTTGTATGGCTTATAATTAATAACGAGGAAAAGTAAAAATTGTTCGAACATAAAAATTTACCTCCAACAATTGAATTTCTTTGCTTTTGGCAGTAGAGTCTAATGCGTCGCTGGTATTCAATTGTTTCGTAATTTCATTACGGAAGTTTTGCATAGCCTTGGAAAATCGAACGTGACCGTCAATGGTTGAATTCTTCAGGCCAGACATCTGCGTGTGCAAACAAATCGGTTTTAAAGGTTATAGGATTTCAATTAGCTAAAGAAATGGCGAAATTCAATGTATTTTTCATAGTTATAATTTTGATGTATTTCTCGCGCCTAATCGAAGCGAACGATAATGATGTAAGTTTCATTTATATCATTATGTAAATTGATTATTATTATTATTAGAAAAATTATAGGTCATAAACATGCGTGACAGCCGAACATTTATCATTTCTTCGGATGATGAGGATTACGATGACTTGGAAAATGAAATGATTCAGATGAAAGATATCGAGCATTTAATAGAGCCAAGGAATGGAGAAGTAGACAATTACGAACAGTTGCATCGTTTCGTTGCTAAATTCAACAATGTCGAAAATGAGTCGTTTGACTTCGTTAAAAAAAATAAAGGTATAAATAGGACTACAATAAGTGTTAAAATGATATATTTGAGTTGATTTAATTTTTAATTTAGAATAGATATCGGTAAGGATTTTTCCTCGAGGATAAGATCTGCGATTAAACACCCGAGAAGAAAACGAAACGATGAAAATGAAAAAGAAGCATTATTAACAACGGAGAATAGTATCGATAGGGAATCAAACATTGACAAATCTGCTGTTTCTAATGACGCGGATGAACTCGAAGAAACCACAACATCTACCCGTAAAACGACTACAACTGAAATTTCCGAAACAACAGAGGAAACTACAATAGGAACTGAACAAGGGACAACTACGACGATCTGGGATCAACCTGAGACTTCTATTACGTCGAAAGAGTTTATGGAAAATCATGAATCGAAAACAACGACTTCAACGACCGAAAAATGGAAAGCTACAGATGAAACGACTGAAAAATTCAAAACAACGGATGAAACTACTGAAAATTGGAAAACAACAGATGAAACGACTAAAAAGTGGAAAATGACCGATGAAACGACCGAAACAAACGAAAAAACCGAAAGTTTTCAAAATATTAGTACGAATACAGCGAGCGAAGAAACAGCGACTACGATATTTGGAAGTAATGAGTTTAAAACAACCGGAAGTTGGGAAACGACGGTGGATACTACGAAAAATGAAGGGCAAAACAAAGCGACAGAACTTACCACGACTACAGAAGCACCAATGGAATACGAACGTATAATGCCCGAATACAGTGCAGATATTGAAAATATTACGGTCGATGAAATAACTTTCAAGTATAGCGAGGAAGAGATTCAATCGACGATGAAGAAATTACTTAAAAAACAATTGGACATAAAAAAACCGAAAAACTGCTCAAACTTCAAGGGCTTCAAGTACGGAGTGACTGCGCTCGAGTGCGCCTTCGATGATCTCGTAAAATCGTCCGATTCCATTCAAAAACGCACGAGTGCCGCGCGCCTCTGGAAAATCTTGAAGGTCTGGTTGATTATATACGTTATTATTGCCGTTCCGTGTTGGTGTACCCGAGGTAAAGTTGAATCATCCGATATCGCGTCTAGCGCCGGCTTATCGTTATTTTGTCGTCAGGTTGGTGCTGCTGTTGCTGTCGCTGTAAGTCTTGTTTTCCCTACCGCATGATCGACTACGAGAAGCAGTATTACGCGAAAAATCCTCCTGGTATTTTGGTCGAGAAGATACCCAAGGGCAAAGAAAAGGCCGAGGAACAAGCACCGATCAAGTACGAGGCGACGCTATACGAAGAGGATGCCTACGCCGATTTCGAAAGCGCCATTAGGCATCTGTGAATGTGACTTACCGATATGACTTGTTGAGCTCTGACGTAGTCTGCCTTCCAGAGGCATTGCAGGGCCAAACTCTCTTTCGATGCCAGCATGAGATTGATGATGTATCGCGAATTGTGATTTTTAGCCGCTGTTAAATTTTCTGACGAGGCGGCCAGATGACTCTTGTGCTTCTTGCGACGCTTCGTACTGGCGTCGGTCGAGCCTGTTTCCGAAGAAAAGTCGGTGTCGACCTTCAGTCTCGTCTCTTGATCCAACTCCTCGGAAGAGCTGTAATTCCGCCGATTGTAGAACAACGACTTGCTGCGTAATCTCGTCGACGGACTTGACTTCTCGATGAGAGCGTGAGTCTCGTTTTCATCGATCGTCATTGGGGTGTCTACCTCGTCTACATCGTTGCTCTCGACGAATTCGGAACTCGTGAGTAATTCCAAACGCCAAAACAAATCGGCTAATGCACTGTCCAATGAGCTTATGCTCTTTTTGATTGATTCGAAATCTTGAGCATCGAGCTCTCGCTGTAATTTGGCAAACTCCACGCTCGTTTGCATCACACAGAGTTTCAAGTGTTTTGCAAGCCTTTTCACGCTGTGCTTGTTGCACACGAAGCCGTAGAGGGGTTTCGGAGCTTCGTCGCGAGTCTCGTGAGCCGAGCTCTCCTTTCCCGTACCATCGAGCGTAGTCTCGGGGCAGTAGTCTTCTTCAGAATTTCCCTCGTGGAATTCGAAATGCGAGTCGTATCGTAGGAACAGCATTGAGAATATGTTCTCGATCACTTCGATTCGCGTCGAAAGCGGATAGATTCCATTAACGAGGGATTCACACTCGACGTAATAATTACGAGCGTCGTCACTGGCAGTGCTAAATTTCGCGTTGGAATGATCGGTTAGGATGGCTTTGAGCGCGGCTTGCATGGCCTTGTATGAATTGAAAACTCGCTTCTCGTCCGGGCGATCTTTGAGCAGAGGTTGAAGATCCGAAGTCGCGCACTCGTGAATGTTAATGCTGCGCTTCATGACTGTCAAGATGCAGTAGTCCTGCAGACAGGCAAATATCGATTTAATCGATAGATTCTGATCGACGGAAATCGATTGGTGCTGCTGACGGTAAGCGAGAATCCATTTGACGACCGAGAAATCGCTATTCAGACGTGCATTCAGATTCATCAAAACTGGTTCGTCGTTTTCATATTGACTGTAACAACACTTATTTAGCAAAAACTTGAAGGATTCGCAAATTCTTTGCTCTTTTGACCATGCTTCTGATTGGGCAGTGACTTGTGGATTAGACAAATTATGTAGAAAGTGCAGAAGTAAGGAAGGCCAGAGGGTTCCCAACTGTGGACAGGATAGAATCCTAGAAGTTTTCTCATAGTCGCCATTCTCAAGTAGTGTCAAGCACGTATCCTGTACAAAATCAATTATTAATTTTTGTACTAAACATTTTTTTTTAGTTATATTATAACTTACCAATATGTCTAGAAGCCAGTGGACACCTCTTGTAATTGTTCGGAACGTAAGCTCCTTTGCATTCAGATTTGGATTGTTTGAATCATTACCATCTGCACTTGATAATAGATAGCTTACTTTTTGAGCATTTTCTAAACTATTTAATGGTAACATTCTCAAGTTAGTAATGTCAAGAAATTTGTGCCATTCCTCTAATAAAGTCATATTTTTTCTAGAATATAGAGCTAATTCTATTTGTTCAGAGTCACGTAGTTCAAGTAGACATGGATAAAGCCATTTCACTAACTCTTTTTCTTTGACTTCTGAGAGATTTAATTTTGATAATAAGCATAAAAGTACACCTAGATTCTTGTTGAGATTATCCTTAGCAGTGAGTACTTTGAGTACATTCAAATAAAGATCCTGGATAACAGTATCACTAGGAAAGTCTGAAGTAGGCCATATTTGTAACAATTCATTGATGAGCCAACTTGTCAATGCCGGTGTTGTGCACAAACTATTTTCTAAATATTGAGATGACTCACTCGATATATTGTTTGTACATATTTTTTCACTGCGTCTCACTTTGAGAATATCTTCAAACAATTGTAACAATTCCTGTTAGTAAAAAAAAAATAAATAAATAAATAAAAAAAAAACAACAACATTATTAAAAACAATTTTTTTCAAAAGATCTTTTATTAAAAGGTGTAGTGAGGCATACTTTCTCAACGACTTGTGAGCGATCGTTTCTAATCAGTGTCAAGTTCAATTTGAACTGCGCGAATCCCAAATTTTCTTTCGCCTTGGCAGCGTTACGCTTGTCCAAGCAAAGCGACACAACATTGGCGATCCACTCGCATTGCTCCGTATCGTCAGTCGCATTTCTGCAAGAGTATTTTTTATCATCATTATTAACGTAACATTAAGCTTTTTTCGAAATCGCGGATGTGTTGTGCGTTGTGTTGTGTATGTTTTTCGCGCGTACTCGTATCGTCGTGTCACATATTAAATGCCTATGCCATGTCTCGGCGTATTTTCGAGCGATAAAGCGTAAATACGGAGCGCGTACAAATGTGGAGCGCGCGCAATATTATATACACAGCGCAACGTGCGTCGTAGTAACTGCTGCTGCTCTACTATGACTAAGCTTTCTTACGTTGCTGCCTGCACACAAGCAAGCGAGCGAACAAGCAGGCAAGCCAGCAGCAGCCTCGTAACAGCAGAGCAGCAGCGCCCATGCACATGCATGCATGTGCGTATATTTATAAACAGCATAACCTTGAAATGAAAAGAAGAGAAAAAAAATGGCTACGAGAGAGAGAGAGCGACACACGCTCGAAAAGGTGTGGGCCCGCGAAAACTCATGACGTGTGTCTGTGTATATGTTATGCATGCATCGAGCGCGCGCCCTGCAACCCGTCAACTACGGGGAATTCCCATGCACGCGCGACGACTTACAGATTAGCATCGATGAGTCCGTTGGAACGCAGGAGGTCCTCGCTGGACCACGAGGCGTTGTGGTGCAGATCGCTCACGAGTCCCAGGGCGACGGTGGACGTGTACCATAACCTCGCCGCGATGCACTTGTCGACGTCAAGATGTTGCTGCATCGGCTGACGACGATGTTCGTCCACGAGGACGGCGGACGTCGACGTCGCGTCGTTGGACATGGCGTGCGTAAGCGCTCGACACTCGCATTCGAGCTAGCTGGACATTGGCCGGACAACGGCCAAACAACAGCACATGTAGGGTAGTAGTTGTACTACGGCAGTCACGCGCGCGCCAGACTGCACATTCTCTGTGTTTATTTACCACCTTACGATAGTACGCGCGAGGGGTGGAGTCATGCTCGCATGTGCAGCATGCATGCACCAACGCAATATGCGCGCGTGTTAAAAGCAAAGAGATTTTTGCGGCCTCACCCGCGCTAGCGCTCGTGCAGACCACAACTGCGTTTCAAGCTCGTTGTGGCGATATATTATCGAGCTGTGTATAACAGAACGTTTATTATTGTCTCTCTAGGCACTTCTCTCGATGAGTCAAACGTGTCGTATATGTAGTATGCACACTGCACAAATCACACACGCACGCACACGGCACAAATTGACGTTCGTATGTTATGTATATAATAAAATGCACGAGGGCACAGCCAGTCAACGGCTAAAGCACTATTAGGAGATATACACTACAGCAGAGGGCCACGAGGTCCACGAGAATCTGCGTCAGTCTGCCGCCGCTGCTGCTGCTTTTGCACGACGAAGATGGGCAGATGCGTATAGAGAGATCTATCTCCATGAGTCGCGCGCTCTATACAGCTCGGGAGGCCTATGCTGCGACGATGATATCATATATATAGCCAACGAGGAAAAATAACACACAACACTCTTGACACAGCACAGCAATCAGAAGGCAGTCAGTAAATATCAGCGAGTAGCTTTGTTGTTTTGAAACGTCATTGTGCAAGGCATGCGCGCCAATATTGCACTACCCTCGGCAGCAGCGCCCGTCTCGTATACTATACGTTACTACGTAGTACACCACTGCAGCGTATATATAATTTCGTACACACGCACTAATACACCGATAGAGTTTGTGTACTGTCTGTCTGTGTGCGTTGCACCGTGCAGAGCAGAGAGTATACAAGCGAAAGAAGGAGACAGAGAGAGGAGAGAGAAACACGCGCGTCTTTGCGCACTCGCGCCGAATCCTCCTTCGGCAGCTAGCAGCAGTTCACCCACGTTTTGCGCGTACGAGTATATTATAATATTATAGGCGCGGGCGCGGCGCGTTCTGTATGTATACAGTCTGCGTATACTCACTGATACAATAACAATACGCTGTCTGGTGGTGGCGGCGTAGGTGGTGGTGTTGCAGACTACTACTACTACTATTACTACGTAAATATACGCGCGTTTACGATCAGACTGCTATGCCGCGAGTGCAGATGCACCGTCTGTGCGAAGTTGCGCGAAAGAGAGACAGGAGCGCGCAAGCGTTTATGTTATGCCTTTAATGCTGCGTATAGAGTACTGTATATGTAAACTCCACACGGGGCAGGGTCAACATACGCGCGCAGCGACGGCGACGGACGACATGCGATGATCGCGCGGCCTGGCACGCAGAAGAAAAAGAGTAGCAAAAGATGTGTTCTTTAAAAGACGCAAAGAGACTTGTGTGCTCTTCTCTTCGCGCGCGCGATACATAGACGACGGCGTCCCATGAATGAGATAACTATTTTTAATCGGCTGTACCTACTCCGCGCTGTCTATATGTACATATTTTCGTGAGAGAAATAGAGAGAGAGAGAGCGACATTAGTACGTAGTTTTGTACTCGTCGCTTGCATAGAGGCTGTTTACCTATATAGCTAGTCGAGACAGTCTACGGAGCGCGAGAGAGAGTGAGTTTCCTCCTCTCGTATCGTGTGCGTTTTATAATCGCGTACAAATATAAATACGGGTAAAGTGCGGCGGTCGACGTCGTCGACGCCGCTGTTCCGCCATCGTCGTCGTCGTCGGCGTCTAGATCGCTGGCTGGCTGGCTAGCTGACCCACTTTCCATACAGTTATGTTGTTGCGCTATAGATATATAATGTATTTACGACTCTGGAATGTTACGCGCGCGCCGACACAGACCCCATGGTAATTGGTACATGGTGGCAGGGCAGCAGCATTAAACGACGCGATTCGTTTTACATAAAAACAAGTGCGCGGCGCGCGCGAGACCATTGGTAAAAGTATCAATCCGAGACGGACGATTATACACGCTGCTGCGCAACTTGCGCACATGATGCGGCTAATATACTTAACTTATATACTTACGCGGCATGCTTTTATTATCAAAACTTCTCGATCGTGTGTATTATCGTATTACATGCGTGCCTATCATCATCGTATAATAATAACGAAGTGCCCGCATTTCTGTATAAAACGGTGAGTAATTTCCGGACACGTCGGAGTCGGAGTCGCGTAGATGTAGACGTAACGTAACGCGCGCGGGGATTATTTATCGCGAATAACCGCTCGACCTGACCTCCTATCGAAAACAAACAAAAGACTCTCTTCGTCTATATCGTAATTATAATTGTTGAGTCTCGCAGCTGTTTATACTTCTGGCATCTACTGTATTATATATAAAAAATAACAAAGTCGAGACGTGTTAGCGCGGCCACGACGAAAACTACTGTTTCGGCATTCGATTCGTCGTGTGTTATGATGGCAAGTGCCACCATCTGTTTGTCAATTTAATTATAATAGAGCTATCTTCGATAAACTTTTTCTGACCAACGAGTCGCGAGCATAAATCATTCCGAGAAATCGAAAAACGACGCCGCCACCGCGCGCTTCGCGATTCTCTTGTATTATTATTTTTTGTTTTGAAACGCGCCACGACTCGAGGAGAAGGCACGCGATAAGCATTGGATCGCGAGAGAGCAGAGCTCGCGTGGAATGTGTCGATGTCAGCTTGCGTACATAGCCAGTTTTATATACATACGCACGCAATATACCTATACATATATATGCATGCGTGCACAGGGCACAGAGTCTGCTCGTAATAATGATCATGATAACGCAAAGCAGCGCTAAAAGCTAACTGCCACATCCACGTGTCTGTGCTGTGTCGAGCTCGCGCCGGAATCACACGCAACCTCTCGATACGCGCTACCACTACTGCTACAGTTAAAACGCTGGATTTTCATAATTGGATACGAGTCTAGAGTCGATTTGTGGCAGCGTTTATAAGTGTATCTCGATTTAAGGTATCTTGCTGGGTAGACGCATGGAAGGAGAAAGAGCGAGAGAGAGAGGCCATTGATTCCAACTAGTATGCTTATACGGCTCGTGTTTGGTAGATGACGAAACTGACCGAGGTGTTTACAAGCACAGATCCGGTGTGTTTGGGTTAGAAGTTTTGGTGCGATCATACAATCGTTGTGTGCACGACCGACCGGTCTTCGGACTCCGAATTTAATTTTTTTACTCGATTGATTTGAATCGAAGTGCGTGAAAAGTGGTGCTTTTATAAATATCGTTTGGTAAAATGGCCAAGTCAAATGGTTGTTATAAAGTTAAAAAGTTGACGGAGCAACAATGCAAGAGCGAACAATTGGACGAGTTCGATGCCTTAAGCGTGAGTTCGTTTGTTAATTAGACCGGTGGATCACACTCGTAATTTGTCACTGCTATTTTATTGAATTGACGTCTTTAACATGCTTTTACAGGCCATTTACTGCGGTCAAATGCGCGATTTACGAGGTAAAAATAATAAGAATAAGAAAAAATGGAAACCCATGCAGTACGCCATCAATCTCTGGCCACAAAGAAATACTTCCTTGGAGGGTAAATTGGAGATTCATGCACAAGTTGATCTTAAAGTGGAGTGTGGACCTAATTATCCCAATGAGTAAGATTTCAAGTGTTCAGTAATTTTACTTTCAATCATTGTTTATAATTATTAGTTAGCATTTTTTATTCTTCTATTTTAGTGTTCCTAAACTCTCTTTTCAAAATGCCAAAGGAGTATCTGATAAAAACTTAGATAAACTACTTTCTAAATTGTATGAGTTGGCTGAACAGAAAAAAGGCAGCGTTATGATTTTTGACCTTTGTCAAGTAGTCCAATCTTTTCTCAGTCCATTTAATAAACCAGCCCACAAGAGTTTTCATGATGCCATGTTACATAGAAATGAAAAATTAATACAGGAAAAAGAACAGCAAATAGAAGAAGAGAATCGCAAGATGCTAAAAAATGTTCTATCAGAATGTCGTTCTGTCATAAAAGAATCTTATTATTTACGTTCTGATTCCAATCAGTTTACAAATTTTCAAGGTGTACAAGATAAATATAAAGAGCCAACTAAATGTAAACATAATGATGATCCTGAAATAATTAATTTCAATGATGCAAACATAAGGGTTAAACGAATTCAGTGCATAAAACATAATGAAGATGGCTCAATTATATTTAAAGCTGCAGATGTGGATTCTCTTGAGCCACTGTGCCTAAGTAAATGGAGTTTGGCATATTCATCTAATCAGTTACCAAAAATTCAAAAAATTATTACAAGTATAGAAAAAGATTTTAAAATAGTGCAAAAAATGAATCATCCAAACTTAGCCAAGTACTTGGGTATCGAATCATTTATTGACGATGAAATAATTAGGATTTATATTCTAAAAGAAATTGTAATTTAAAATTTTTTTCTCAAATTTTCAGAACATTTTATATTAATATATATATTAATATCACTTTTCTTTCAGTGCCCTGTTATGTTGTTTTCTTATGAAAATGTGTTTGGATCTATTTACAATGAAAATATCATCCAAAGTTTTACAAAGGCTGCTTTGAGGGCTTTGGAACATCTACATGCTAAAAATTTAACTCATGACAGTCTTAAACAATCAAGCTTGCTTTTAAGTGATAACAGAATCCAAATAAACGATTACACAATTGAAAAAAAACTCACTGATCTTTGTAAATTAAAATTTGATGAAGATGTAGAAAAAGTAGAAACAAAAAAATTGAAAGATGTTAGTCGATTGGGTCGTTTAATATTAACTTTTCTTAAGGTTCCCTTAACTGACCCAATAACTTTGCCTGCAAATATTTCGGTAATGAATCTCATATTCTTAATATTAGTTTTTAAAATGCAATGTGTACAATTTTAATGAAATTTTTTTTTTGACGGGCAGCGGTCGTTGGATGATTTTCTACGCAAGGCACTAGCAATTGAGAAGGAACGTTGGTCAGCAACACAATTACTTAAACATGAATTTATAGAAGACTATGTAATGGAAGAATCACTAAAGCAAATCGTTGCTTTAAGTCACTCCATCGCAATCGATCACAATAGGAGTTTACCGATCATAGACACCGGTATTTTCAATAAAACTTCGCGTTTGATAGAAGAGTTCTGTAATTTCACATTTTTGGGCAAAGGAGGTTTTGGCTCGGTTTTAAAAGCTCAAAACAAATTGGATGGACGTTATTACGCCATCAAGATCATTCGTTTACCCAAAAAAGAAGGGCCAATGAATAAAAAAATTATAAGAGAAGTGAAATTGCTTTCTCGACTTAATCACGATAATGTTGTGAGATATTATACATCATGGATAGAGGAGTCTATCGTGGATCCTAAAGATAAAACTTCTCTAGGCTTGCCTTGGATTCTAATGCAAAATGACGAAGACGAATTCTACGATGAAGATGCAGTAGATGGTGCAGTAGAAGAATATGACGATGAAGATGACGATGACGACGACGAAGATGACGACGATGAAGATGGCGATATTAATAGCAGAGATGAAGCAGGTGAATCGTTATCCGAAACCGAGGTAAATTACATAAAAAATATATAAGATATCGTTTCATTCTCAAATTGTAAATATATATTTTTATAGTATTCGAAAGCATCGAATACAGGAACAATTTCGGAAGGAAACTTTATAGTGTTCGAAAGCGGATCGAATAGATCGCCAGGGAGAGTTCCATTAAGCGGTAGAAGATTAAGCAGTGAACAACCAGAAGAAGCCACGGAGAATTCTTTGGGACCCGATAATAAAACATCTAAAAGAATTATTGTTATGTACATTCAAATGGAATTTTGTGAGAAGAGTACACTTGCAACAGCCATCGAACATAATCTCTACCGAAATGAACCCAGACTCTGGCGATTGTTTCGTGAAATAATCGAAGGTCTAGCACACATTCATGAGCAGAGTATGATTCACAGAGACTTGAAGCCAGCCAACATTTTCTTGGATAGCAGCGATCACGTAAAAATCGGGGACTTTGGATTGGCTACAAACAGCATGCTGTCGCAGCATACTCACGGCACTAATGCTGCTCAGAACGGAGATACAGTGGAAAAACAAGGGCAATTAAATATAGGTAAGTTGTCGCTTTGCTATTTCTTTTGTTATTTTTTTTTTTTATTCTAACTGGCACGTATCTTGTCTGCAGAAATGTCAGCAAATGGATACGCTGGGTCTCTAACTGGAGAAATCGGTACCGCGTCTTATTCAGCCCCCGAACTGAATTCTAAAAACTCTCGAGCGATTTATAATCAAAAGGTAGATATCTACAGTTTAGGAATTATATTTTTTGAAATGTGTCGTGCACCTACGACCGGTATGGAACGTGCCTTATCAATTCAAAAATTGAGGTCAAAAGAAGTAATTTTACCTAAAGAGTGGAGTACGGCTGAAATGAAAACCAAAGCAAACCTTTTGCGGTAAGTTAATTGCTTTATAGTCTTGAGATTAACGTTTGTATAATTGTTTTAATTCGTGTGGATTCCTCGCAGTTGGTTATTGAATCATGATCCCAAACAGAGACCCACGTCACAACAACTTCTAGAATCGAAGTATATTATGGACAAGTTTAACTCCGCGGATGAAACCACAATCAAGAATATTTTCGAGCAGAATTATGAATTAAAATACGATCTTGTCTATACTATGAACATGACAAAGGATGAGATTCATACAGTCGAAATGCCTGTGAAATACAACAAGGAACGAGAAGCTGTGAAACTCGTGGTCGTTAAAATATTTGAAAAGTACGGTGGTGTACCAGATCATACAAATCTATTGTTCCCTGAACCGAACGGTATTAAAGAAAATAGAATTTTATACAAAATGATGACTTACCATGGAAGAATAGTGTCACTTCCGTGTGATCTTCGTATTGCTTTTGCGAGATTCGTCGCCTACAATGGAATTACAAACCTTAATAGGTATTCAATCGATCGAGTATACAATCACGAGGTTGGTATTTATCAGGTTTATATTTTGGATTGTTAATTTTCTTTTTCATAATAATGTTACTTTGTAGAGGAAACATGTGTCCAAACACCCTGAAGAAACTCTTGAGGCAGCATTCGACAAAATCTCTGCAGCCCCAAATCCTTCGGCCGATGTAGAACTGATCTGCATAGTGCTGGAGATATTCGATCAGATTCCTGCCATGAGAGATTGTGATGTGATCGTGCGAGTCAATCACACATCTTTGCTAGACGCCGTGTTAACGCATTGTGGAGTTGAGGAGCAAATGCTTGAAGACGCTAAGAACGCTTTGGACGTGATACCGTCTGACAAGTACTGGCTTCGGGTTATTAAAGCACGTCTAGTGAGTTTATGTCTTCCCGATCAAGTCATAGAGAAACTTATGAGATTTACAAAGACGTCAAACATATCTGATATGAGAAAATTGGTAAATGGATGGGGAGGGACTAAACACAAATTAGCGCAGGAGGGATTCAAAGAAATCGATCGATTGATAAAGGGCATACAAAGTTATATGAACGGTTTTACTACACAAACGGTACGAATTTAACATTGCACAATATAATTATAAAAAAAAAATATATAAAAAACATTCGTTTATTTCAGCCATTCCCACCACCCAAAGTGATTTTGGGTCCACTGTATGCGTACAACATAAATAAATATAACGGATTAATGTTCTGTTTTCTTAGTAAAATGAAAGGTCGTCATGAAACCGTTGCATACGGTGGCAGGTAATTTACATTAGATGTATGGTTTATGAATGTTGTGAAGCATTTCATTTCATAGAATGAACATTATTTTAGGTACGATAAACTGCTTAAAAACTTTCGTGACAGAGTGAATTATGTTCCACAAGTCAATCAATGCAAACAGTATGCTACAGGAATTAGTATTAATTTAGACGTCATTACCTCATTTTGTGTCAAGTATCATGAGGATCAAGAGCAACCCTTTGGTATTTTAGCTGATGTTCTCGTTTCTGTAATAGGCGGTGAAGTCGATCAACAATTACCTGAATTGTACTATGTTTTATCCAAATTGCGCTTTGGGGGCTACAAAGTTTATCATACGAATTTTGATAAAATAGATGAGGCTAACAAATTTTACAAAGAAATGGGGATCAAGCAAGCAATTATACTGAAACCCCCTTCAAAAAAAGTATTCATATGGTCGCCACTGAGAAAACATATACACAACGTAGACGAAGTAGAAGTGCAGGTAAGTTTAACATAATTTGACTTGAAATTTTTAAATACATAACAATTAACTCGTTAAATTAATTACTTGCATTTATCTCAGGACTTTGATCAATTTTTGAATCCATTAAATCAAAAAGATGATTCTTCGTCCATGAATCGATCAAACAGTTTTTCGACTCCTAAACCATTCAATATAGACATAAAGTGGAATTCGGAGGATGATGAAGTAGATCAAGACCTTGAAACCCAAATACTTGAAACTTTAAGCGCGCATTTACAGAATTTACAAAAAACTAAGCCACATCTTAGTGTTGAGTGTTATTGCATACGTGTAGACTCGAATGCTTTTAGATCCATATCCCGCCTTGGATCTCTGAAACAGGAAAAGTTTCAGAAACTCGTTCAGAGTATTATGGAGCTGTAATGTTTTTAATTTTATTTAAGAAAGAAAAAACTTGAATAGTTTTCAATGTATTAATAAAATATTTCTATTTTTTTGCAGAAACTCTCATAGAAAAAAATACATAAAAACTATTACGGATGCAATATGGGAAGCAAAGACAAATAAACCTACAGTGCAGTTGATTCTATATAATCTGAATTACCACAAGTGGGGTATACTTACTTGAATAATGGTACAAGTAATGTTCAAAGACTGATTTTAGGAGCAATTCTCCAATTTTTTATAGATATATATTTTATTGTACAATATAAATTTAAGATAGTGTCCGGAGAGAATAATTTTTTAATAAAATTATTTTTCAAATGAATATATTTAGAAGTAATTCTTACTCGATCTCTAATGCCTAATTATTTAACTTGTAATAGTATCTATTCATATTCTGAGAAATTTATGAAAGCAAGAATTCAAACTTTTCTATTACATAGTTCAGTTATTTTTTAAATTTTAATAATCGTTTTGATTTCTGTAAATTATAAAAACAAATAAAAAACTAATCCAGTTAACTTTATTATTTATCTACTAAAATTTTAATCGTAAAGATTTATTTTTATCGTAATTTTGGGCATTGCCAGATGCAGTTTTTAGAAATAAGAGTCATGCGCTTGAAAGGTACTTCGATAATAGAAAGGTAAAATTCAAATTTTTATACCAGCATCAATAGAACTCGTTTGGAGCAGCGGTGTGCTTCTCGAATGAAAACAGCCTCTACGAAGTGCCTTACACAAGTCAGAGGCGAGTTTTAATGAGATGTATACACATTAAAGCCTCGACTCTCATTAATAGTCGTTCGGACTGAACGAGTAAAAGGCTTTCACCCAACGTTTGTCACGCATATGTCCACGTACAAACCATCTCGAGTCGATTGATCGAGATGAACCTGATACACCTTACAATGGCCCGTACAGGTTGTACGATAAAAATAATTTCCTCGACTCATTAAAATAATAGCATAAGTTTTCTCGAGTACCGTGAATACACTCGAGCTTAAAAATATATTCGACGTGCAAGGTGAGTCCGTATAAGCCTTGGATTTAGTTACATGATGTAACAAGAATAATTGTACTATCATGCGTTTTCTTTTTGATATCGTTCTATATAGCTACGTGATGAAACGTTCGGATGTCGTTACGATGTTTTTTTTTAACAATGAGTTCTCATAATATTAGAGATAAAATTATTCGCTCAAGCAGTCGGTCGAATTTTCGAACGTTGCGAAACGTTGTCGGCATTTTCTGGAAAAATTTTCCGACGTTTTGAAAGATATTCCACACGGCGTATTATTTCGGCGTAAAAACAAAAAATCCACCTCTTCATGGGTAAGTATCCGAACGGGATATAAAATCTCCGAAAGTACCGGTGCTCCGCACGAAATCTTCGGGGCGCGATACGTGTGCGTTCGGGACTTTCACGAAGCTCCGAATTCGCGGCACAAGCCTGCGCGCTTATCGTCGCGCCGCGAAAGCTACATATAACATATAGGTATGTTGTACAGTTGCTTCAGCAGCGGCACGCGGCAATTAGCAATAGCCGCCAAAAGCCGCGCACAGGCTGTGGGTAGGTATATATAACAAAAATTTTGCAAGGCGAGCGCAAATTCAAGCCGCGCGAGGTGTCGGCGGAAAATTTTCCTCGGCATGGATGCGTCAGGAATTTGAGGAGAAATAAACAACGCGCGAGAGGCATGACTCGTTTTCATTTCTCCGCCGTGCGCGGCTCTGTATATAAGAGAACTACATCTGTATTACTAACAGCAGCTTTAACCGGAAGTACGCGTGGATTTTAAATCGTTCGTAGCAGCAAAGCGCAGCTATGAAATAACAGATGGCAGAGTGGGGAGCAACGACTCTTAACGTTAATTTTCCTGTGCGATTGACGCTCCAATCGCTCACTCGTTCTCTCTTTCTCGCGCTTTTTTTTCTCTCTCGAGAAACGAAAAAACAAAATGAAGTGCCTAATGGCTATATGGACGTTTTCGACACGCGCACGGCACTCGGGGCGCGCGCGTTAGATAGTTACCAAACGACTTTATAATGCCTCCATGCGCCCCGCAGCACGTTGCGACCATTGGAGCGTCTGTCTCTTTCTCTCGTTGCCGGCCACTGCATGCGCAGAGACACGAGCTGTAAGCTAGAAAGAGACGGCCTGAAAAACGATTACAAGCCCTGGGCCGCGCTGCAAGATCGAGCTTACAGCATAGAGAGTAGACTCCGCTCATGACTTCATGCTCCTTATTTTAATACGGGGCATTATATATCTATAGGATAAATTTGGTCGGTGACTCGCATCTTTCTCTCTCTTTCACTCCGTCGTCGTACGCACGGGCATCGTTGCGCACGGTCAACTGTGGAAACAGATCTTTCTCTTTCTCTCTCGCTCCTTTTTTCCTTCTATTTCTCTCTCTTTCTCACATAGAAACTTGGTATAGTAGTCACAGTACAAAACTTACTACCTGCGTGTACGTGTGGCATACTTGTGTGTGCGCGCGTTCGTACAGTAATACGTCTGTGTGCGCGCGGCTCTCTCTTTCTATTCCATAATACGTATGTGAGGTTTCGGCAGTCTGTGGCTTCTCTCTTTCTCTTTTTCTCTCATCGGGTTAGAGCATAGAGCTCAGACATCATCATCGTTACTCGTCGATCAGAGCCACGACTACAGACAGCAAGGAATTAGATTGGTGTAATATAACCTCCCATTGCCTGGCAGCGCGTGTACTGACTGCCTGTGCCGTGTTCTTATTAGTGTGCTGAGCACCGAACATTAACATTTCGTCGTTGTTTTTTTTTTGTTATCGTACTATTACATAGGCAGTGCCTCTTTGAGCAGCACATTCGCGTGTACGTGTCTCTCTCTGCCCGGTTCAACTGTGTGGTGGTGGTCATATATAGGTATAAAGTGTTGTAACTGCCTTACATGTGTGCTGCAAGCCATTCGCGCGTCCGCATGTGATACACATACACCAGTCTCTATACATATAGGAGCCTATATAACATAAAATATATCATTCGCTTGTGCGCGTGTGTTGAGAGTTTGATACACGTTGGTCATATAGCAGTGTACGTGCGCTCGCGCATATGTGCAACGGAGAAAAGCTTCTATACAGTAGTGTGTGCTCGGTCTCTCGGCGTACTAGTGTGTTTTGTGCTGCTGCAGCTGCCGCCGCCGCCGCCACCGCCACCGCTGCCGTAGTGTAGTCACTCCGCCGTAGTTGCGCCGATATATACACCGCATCGAAAAAAGCCCTGTACACACAGCCTCAAAGCGAGTGAGACGTGTACTGATATACACAAAATATATAATATACTTAACATATACGGAGAGCTGCGCTGCGCCTGTTACTGCTGCTGCTGATTCGTCGCGCTCGCTCGCTCTCTCTCTCTCTCTCTCTCTCTCACACAGTTAGGTCTCTTGCTCCTACCGTATATTCTCCATATATACACCTATATTTTACGGTTGTGTGCGTGAGAGTGTCCCGTACAGCCGACGGCTGTAATATTGTAGTTATACATTAGCTCCATAAGAGAACAGATTATATTGTCCAAGATGAGTGAGGAATCGAATCCTCGCACCTTGTACGTGGGCAATCTCGATGCCACCGTGTCCGAGGACCTGCTCTGCACCCTCTTCTCGCAGATTGGCATGGTCAAGGGTTGCAAGATCATACGCGAGGCCGGCAACGATCCCTACGCCTTCGTCGAGTTTAACGACCACCAATGCGCCGCCACGGCACTCGCTGCCATGAACAAGCGCATGTTCCTTCAGAAAGAGATGAAGGTTAACTGGGCCACGAGCCCGGGCAATCAGCCCAAGCTCGATACGAGCAATCACCATCACATATTCGTCGGCGACTTGTCACCGGAGATCGAGACGGCTACGCTGCGCGAGGCCTTCATGCCCTTCGGCGAGATCAGCAATTGCCGCATCGTGCGTGACCCGCAGACCCTCAAGAGCAAGGGCTACGCCTTTGTCTCGTTCGTGAAGAAGAGCGACGCCGAAGCCGCGATCAGCTCGATGAACGGCCAGTGGCTCGGCTCGAGGAGCATCAGGACCAACTGGTCCACCAGAAAACCACCACCGCCAAGGACCGACAGGCCAAGGAATACCAACAGCAAACCCAACTATGAAGAGGTAAGTTGTCATATTTAACAGTCATGCTTGACATTAACCCTCCACAGTTACTTCAGACATTAATCTTTAAATGTTAGATAGATATCGAACCCATAATAATACGTAAAGGAATTTACAACGCCTAGTAATGGTTATTAATATTGATGTATCTCAAGCTCCTTAATATATTATTGCTAGCAAGTTTAATATATTTTTGCTTTACAGGACAATTGATTTGCGACTCAAAAAATTGAAAATTTAACCATTGCGTTCTTAATTCAATAATTCAAACTTATATAGTTTAAATTATTGAATGTTTTATTTCGGAAGGTAATATTCGAACAGAATTATGACCAAGCTAACTAACTATATTATCTATTATTATTATTATTCATAATCTTTCTTAAGCTTCAACAACACGTTCAATGTTCAAACCATAAAACAACTTCAAATTTTTTAACAACATTCAGTATTTCTGTATTACCTAAAATTTATAATATACACCAATATAGATTGATTTGTAACATAATTATTTTATATTAAACTAATTTAATGAATGACATTATAATCTTTACTTGTTATTTTTTCATAGGTATACAACCAAAGTAGCCCAACCAATTGCACTGTATACTGCGGTGGATTTACAACTGGAATATCAGACGAACTGATTACAGCTACTTTTTCGCCTTTTGGCGCAATTCATGATATCAGAGTATTTAAAGATAAGGGATATGCTTTCATTAAGTTCACAACAAAAGAAGCTGCTACACATGCAATTGAAAAAACTCATAACACTGAAATTAATGGTTGCATTGTCAAATGCTTCTGGGGTAAAGAAAACGGAGACCCCAATAGTATAGGACCAAATGCTAATGTACCATCTCAGCCAGTAAGTTTCTTAATGCTATTTAAAAACATGAATTATGTACAAAATACATTCATCAGCACTACCTATAATAAATAAACACCTACTAAATTTTGGTAATTCTTTGTTTACAGGCTACAGCTGGAGCTGGTCAGTATCCTTATGGTTATGGACAACAAATGAGTTACTGGTACCCTCAAGCTGCTGGTTTCCCACAAATGCAAGGCCAATATATGCCACAATATTACAATCAGTACTACAGCCAGCAACAAGCTCAGTATATGGGTAGTATGAGGATGCCTACACCAGCTGCTGGAACGTGGCAGCCTGGTCAAACCGGCACTGCACCACCAACACCAGCTGCTTCTCTTCCACCGGGGCAACAATTGCCAATAACCTATTCTATGCCACCTCAATATCCTTCTCAATGAGACGGTGAAGCGGTAACAGTCAAATAAATTACAATATAAAATAAAACGAAAAAAAAAAATTAAAAAAAACTAATAACGATTATCAATAGCAAAGCAACAACTTTGACCATTGAAAGATATGTATACCACACTTGACATCCATTTATTCCTCGAAGATAAGCTCACTTATATGTTACCTACCTTCATTGTTAGACTTTTGACTACTTCTTGTAATGTACAATCATTGTACATACGGAGACATACAAAGCCACACTTGCATTAAATATATATTTGTACATTGTTAGACGTTGCAACAAATATTACCCTACAATTGAATCGGAAAGATGTTTTTGAATTTAATTAAGAACAATTAGTCGCGCCTTTTCTAGATGTAATGTAGACGGAGAAAATAAAATGTGAGTTAATAATTTGTTTTTGGTTTTATTAGATTGTAGTGGCTATCACTTTAGCAGATAGTTAATATTACTTTGTAGAAAAAAATAATAAAGATGCAACTGATAGTTGCAATAAAAGAATGTGAAACAAGGTAGTATGTACTTGAATTTATCTTTGAGGTCTTGCAAAGTCCTGCATTCGTTATGCAGTGTGATCTTAGTCTACTCATGTTTAAGACCATTGCAATTGTTGAGAATTTTATAAGATTTATTTCTCTCTTTCTCTACTTTTCTCTAATTTTTGTTTTCTCTGACGCGATGTTAAAAAAGATCATTTTCTTTTAGTTCAAATGTGTTGTCAAACAAAACACTTGTGTGTTTTTTCATCTATAATCAAGAGCAGCGATAATACAATTATCAATGCAAAATGTTAAAATAAATGCTTAAGGTCTTAATATGATAGCTAGACACACCACTGTGATGTTTTATAAAAAAAGTCATGCTGCTAAAATCGCATGCAGGTTTTTGAAATTAAATGCATTGATAACTTTAACATGAAAATGTTCGCGCTTTAATGAAACTCACCGTTGCTTTGTAATTTCATGGTCGCCAGTGGATAATTGATGGTTTCAAACGAAGCGCTTTTTATCTTATATGAACGATAGAAAAATCAAAAAAATGTTGAGCATAATATTAATAAAGATAATAATGGTTGATTATTTGTCGATCTTAGTTTTTATTTCTTTACAAAATGCTTTTAGATAATAATTCTGAGTGAAGCTTGGCGAGTATCAAATATGCGATAATAATTTCGTATTTAATCAAACAAGATCTGGATTTCACTCTAAGAAAATTTTTTCTATCGAGTCTTCCGCAAAATGAATATGCATGTGCAGAAAATATTTTGAGCCTGAGAGTATTCTGATTCAATGCTTTGCAGGTATCTTACTAAATGTAATTTTCTTTATAAAATTGACGCTATGTACTTACTTTTTTTTAATTTTCTAAATTTCATTCCAATAGTTTTTAATTTTTCATGCTTCGAAGTGTAGGAGAAAATGAAATTGCTGGATACCACTGGCGATAACAAATGTCAACTTAGCTGATTTTTAAGAATAAAAGGTAGGAACAAAGCAAGTGTAAAAAAAATAGGATGTTTAAAACAATTCAAATTTGTATAATTTGATAAATTTAATGCTAAAAAAGTTTGTCGAGTGAGTAAATATTTGTATGGAGAATTTGATTCATAATGAGTAAGACATTGAGTTAACATGATTCAGTAAGTGAAGATGGAGAGTGTTATATAAAAAGTTTAATTTAGGTATGGTGGAGCGAAAAAGCTCGACATTACTTAGGATAATGTTATCTTATAATATAAACAAATTGTCCTTTGAATGAAAAAAAAGGAATAAATATTTAAAATACAATTTTGATTTTCATTGTTTGTGCATCTTGATCCTCATCATTACCCCATGGTGAATTTTGTAAAATAAAAACCAAATATACCAGTTTATATTGTACAAAACACGAGTAAATTGATTATATACAAATTTTCCTATGCCTAGTGTAAGTATAATTTACTGAAATTAGAAAACGAAATTGTTTCTAAAGTATTGAGCATAGTTTCTATAATCTACAATGAAAATGCTATATTACTTGTTTCTTGCACCTTTATTTGCTTCTGATAATTTTACAAAATAAATTTGTAACTTTTCTTATCTAATTATAATTTTTAAATTAATTTACGAACAATGTTACAAGACAATTGTATTTTATTTTTGATAGTATGTAATCATAAATAAGTGGAAGTTACAGATTATCATATTGCTTCGTCTTACGTTAAACGATAATATTCATTTTTTAATTATGCCTTGCAGTTAATGTATTTTATAATGCACTTATTTATTTTTACTTTAGTGATTGAAATCTGATTTTTTCATACTTACAAAAGTAGCAAAATAATTGTGACAAGGCAGCAAAACTGTTTTTCATTTATGATTAGAAGGCAGGTCTATTACTCATTTCCGACTCCAGTATCAATATTAATAATTATGTTGTTCACAATTTTAATTTATTTCGGTTAGAATTTGATTATTTTTCATTTATTTCCCGTGTACCATGTAAATGTAAAAAATTGTTGCAGGCAATTCCGTTCATCGGAATTGCGTGGATTTGTTTATGCGCGTATAGCCAGTGATACAAAATTTACAAAATAAATTAAAGCAGTCCCGTTGCATGTATATTTGGCAACATTAAATCAAACTTGAGCCTCTAATCGCTGGATAAGAGATCCTCAAAAATATACAAAAGAAGAAACGCGTTTTAGCGATTATTGGCCTCATTTTGTTATTTATTCGGATGGTTTGTACTTCACTTTTATTTGCTTATTTTTCTGTTTATAAGCGATGAACTTATTCCAATAGGTAAAAGACGAAGCATGATAAATCATTTAATATTTTCAACTATTAACAGACAATTTTACATTTAAAAAACGTACAATCAAATAGTATGGACTAGGACATCGAATTCACATTTATAATCCACTTATCACAACATGCGAATTAGACGTCGTGACATGAAGAAAACCTAACAATTTTGACATAACACTATTTAATTCCATTAATTTTTTTTAACTCAAGATACATACACGATAACCACTAGAGGAAAATTAGAGAGCTGAAAAGACAATTAATTTTTCGCGTGGTTCATACAGTACCTTTGGAAAGTACACTTAGTACGTGAATTAATAAGTGAGTGAAAAGTTGTGGCAACTAAGTACGCACCATAGTTTGGCAAAACTTATTCTCATACTAGAATTTGAATATATCATCTGTAAAATTAACAATAATATAACACACTCATTAAATACTATTCTAAATATTACTTAGGAATGCGGGCTTTATTTAATATAACATGACTGATTTGGACATTTTTCCTTATAAGTAAAATGCTTCTATTAATAAATGCAGATTAATTCATCAAACAATATTGAATACGCGTGAAAAAGCATATTATCTGTAAATGATATGTATATTTGATATTAACATTTACTACAAGTATTTCACTGGTATGTTATGTAAAAGAAGAACAACAAAAAGACCATCTAATGAAGTTAAAATGTCCAAATCAGAGATTTGAACGATACGTAGATTTCAAAGACTAGTTAATGTAACGACAATAATTATAAAAATAATCTACAATTAAGATCACCTGAAATTCACTTTTCATCGATCGCTTTAATACCCTTTAACTTTGCATTAAAAAGTTTCAACACGGTTAGTTGAAACCGTTTGCAATTATCATGTACAATATAACAACGACTTGTTAATCATCGTATGTATAGGATAAAAAATACCTAGTAAAACATTGCGCTTTTGTTCTTTCATTTACTTTGCACACTACCGTTTCGTTGTTTCGTAGAACCATGCACAGTATTTTAAGACATATTTTTGTATCAAAGCAAGTACAATACGCTGCGGTTTTTTACTACACATGACGCTTTCTTTTCAATGCGTGTGACCTGTGTTAGTCCGGAAAGGCATTTTCATATTCAATATCCAATCATAAATTGCTGCTTCCATATAATTAAAAAATTAACAAATTTTTTTCCGTTTCATCAAATAACTTACAGATTAGACAATGAGAAAAATTCTATGCACCTCTTATAAATGTTATTTTACATTTAGAGACAGGCACATGAAGTATTTAAAATCACCTTCCTGAGTCAATTTTGTAACAATGTTGAGAGGATACCACGAAAATGGTAAAATATCTGTTTTTTTTTCAGGGTATTCCGACCAGCAGCAATACGATTAAGACAACTAATGTTTTATCAAATATTACCAATAAAAATTGTAATTGAATCATCTTCAGTTTTTAATTACAGTTTTAAATCTTAAAGGCTTACGTCACCGTAATCGAGACTCCATTTTTCGTAGGCTGCCAGACTGCCGGGCGAGACGGATTTTCGTACTCTTTTCAACGAGTCGAGGAAGTCTTGCAATGTGATATTCCTTATGGAATTCAGAGATAAATCTTTTACTTGTTCCATGTCGAGTTCTGGAAGATAAAAATATTGATGCGTAACATAATATTGCTCTTTTGGTAGGATAATAGTTACAAAATCGACGTACCTCTTATAGGGCCCAGAGCGGCGTCTTTCGCCAAGCCAGTAAGATCGCTGCCAGAATAACCCTCGGTCAATAAAGATAATTGCTTAAGTTCATCTTCATTGAGAGGGTCGTTGTGCTTCTCTAACAATCGTTTGAGCAATATAATTCGTGTCTGAAAATCTGGCAACGTAACGTATACTCGTTTAGTAAATCGCCTCAACGCAGCTTCATCCAATTCTTGGGGCCTATTCGTCGCGGCCATCACGAGAATTCTTTCTTCCGGATTACACGGAAGGCCGTCGAACTCGACTAAAAATTCTGTCTTCAGCCGTCGCGACGCCTCGTGCTCGTTGTCTTTGCGCTCGCTCAGCAGCGAGTCGACTTCGTCCACGAAAATGACTGATGGTTGAAGTTCTCGGGCGCAGGCGAACAGAGCCCGAACCAGTTTTTCGCCTTCTCCCACGTATTTTGAGGTGAGACTCGCTGCGGATATCGAGAAGAAAGTGGCGTTACATTGCGTGGCCACGGCTCGGGCCAGCAGTGTTTTGCCATTTCCCGGTGGTCCAAACAGCAGCAATCCCCGAGCTGGTGTGCGAAGGCCCGTAAACAGTTCCGGTCGCAGCGAGGGTAGAATTATCATTTCTTGAAGCGCCTGTTTGGCTGTCTGTGCAGAGGAAAAAAGAAAGATTGATCGTTTTCTTTTTAAACGAGATTAAGAGCGCTAGTGTTTCGTACAAGACAAGACCTCATTTTCGACCTAATCGCTATTGACATTTTTTAATCCTTCAAGAATGAGAAACGGAAACAAGAAGAAAAAAAGAAGAACAGCGCGTGAATACGTCCAAGGTCGTTGAATGAAATTGGATTACCTCTTGACCGGCTATATCGTCCCACAGGACGGGCGGTCCACCCTCGACGATTTCGTCTAGTATCAGTTGCGCCAATTTCGGCTCCACACCCTTGAGCTGTGGCACGATTTTTTTCACCGGCGTGCCCTTGTTACTGGCCGTGGGTGTGGTGGGTCTGCGCCGCATCGGTGACGCCGTCGAGGTCGTCCCAGTGCCACCGCCGCTTGCGGACGTCTCGTTTCCGGGCACCGAGAGCTGCCTCTTTACGGCCGGCGGTGTCAGGGCCGGTTTGGCGTTGGACGATCGGTGATGAATCGGCAAAACGGACGCGGACCGACCCATGTTGCGCGGCAGGGTTTGACTCTTGCTGCCATTACCGCCGCTGCCGATCGCCGTTGTGGCGGTCGCTAGACGTCGATTGTTGTTGCTGTTGCAGGTGCCGCTGCCCGCCACAGGGAATTTTCGACCAGAGGCTGAAAAGAAGAAAAATGTAGAAAATCGTCTTGTTTTTACAAGGGAGATTGGATAGAAGCAGGATTTTAATTCCGTATGGATCGATAAAGAAAGTAAAAATAAACTTAGAAAAAAACGAGTTTTAAAGGCCAAGTACCGTTTACGCTATCGTGTTATTTAGTGAAAAACGATTTATATACGAAGGCGTGTACAGAGCGTATCGTCATATTTCACGAGCTTCCTTTGATGCGACGCTCGAGTTAACACAAATATAGGTATACCAGTATGATAATCATCGTCATAAAAAGTCAATGTATAAAAGTACTAAGAGCTACCTCATTAAGTTTTAATGGCAAAGGTGACTTGAATATGTACATTATTTTAGATACACATGTTTACAAGTATACATTTGACAAGGATAAATTTAAGAAACAAAATTTGTTGTCAAGCTTGAGGAAGAAAGTCCAAGCAACATCAAGTCATAAAGCTCGCGTGCAGTTTGTCTACCGATGATGTACAGATGTAAAAATAGTTCATATACTCGGGGTGTGCGTGCAGACAACACAATACGCTACACATACATACATGGAAAGAAAGAGAAAAAGATGAAAAAAAAAGTGAGGGCGACATCGGTACAATACCTTCGCTGGATCGAGCGTTATTATTAGTGGTAGCAGTGGTAGCTTTAGTACTCGCAACTATGCGCTTAATATTATTCTTAGTCGCGGTCTTAGTTTGATTAGCCGCGCCACTCGAGCTCGTTGACGTTGTACCAGCACCACCTCCACCCGACGCTCCGTAAATCTGCATGGGTTTGTGAAGCTGATGTGTATTGTTCTTGTTGTACGTACTACTCGGTGCTCTGCCGCGGGCGTTTGTCAATCGACTCGTGGAAGCATTGTTAGTGGTGGTAGTAGTAGTAACTGCAGCAGCTACGCGTTGACGATTAGGTCCGCTCCTCGTTTGCTTTGACGCCGATTGTCCTTCCGCTTGGTTGTCCTTGCTCTTCTCCGCTGCCGACAGTTGTTTGATATCCAGACTTTTCAGCTCGTACAAGCTCGCTACACGTTGGCATAATGAACAAATGCTGAGGTTGATTTTTTTCGCTCGCTCTCTCTCTCTCTCTCTCTCTCTCTCTCTCTCGGTCGCTGTGTTGCTCTTTTGCCCCGTTTTGGAGTGATGCTTTATTATCAATGCGCTGCGCGTACGTACCGATTTTTTTTAATTTCATTTTAGTTATTTGAAAAACAAAAACGAGATGTGAAAAAAAACCAAATTATTTGTAAAAGTAACACGTACTTATATACAAACATGCGAACACGTCAATTCAATCGAAATGCTCTAGGCATTAAATTTGGCATTGCTTTCAAGTGCTGATAGCTAGTTTTTTTTTTTGCTTCAAAATTAGCGTCTACGTGATTGAAATTCAAAGCACAATAACTCAAGCAAATATAAAAATAAATATACTTAATAATATTTATAACAAATATTTGTAAGGAAAAAATACTCTACAATAAAATTTTTACGTACTCTTAACACATTATATGTCTTCTATGAAAATACAAACATTTACCAAATAGTTAAGAACTTACTGAGAAAGTCCAGTCTGTCTTTGGCCATTGTTAAGTTAGTTCTCATTTTGTCGTTCAATCGCTGCGCTCTTTCCCAAACTTCGCCGCGACCTCCGTTGCACTCGACGGCAATACCCTTCTCTAATTCGTCGATGCCTTTTTTGTACAAGTCAATGGCCATTTCCTTATGCCCTACACACATTAAAAAATGTCCATGCAAGTCTTTGTTCATGAGAGCATATAAATCAATGTTCTTAGGAAATAAAATAGCTCCATTATAATGCCAAATATGGGGTATGACACTTGATGGCCTTGTGAACTTATATGTTCATTGATTATTTTGTTTCTTTTATGGTAACCAATTTGTTGATTATTTTATTTTTATCATACGTTTTAATTTTATATGATTGAATGTATTAAATCTTCAATTCTACCATTTTATTGTAAATATTAGTATCATACACAATTGAAATAGTGTTGATATCAAATATATTACAACATTTTTTTGTGCTTACTCACCTTCATTTTCTTCATCAATTTTAAGAGCCTTGCTAATGTATTCAAAGGCTCTTCTGTGATGATGTTTCTGCTTAGCTAATAATGGATCTCCCGGACCAGGTCCAGGTTTTCTTGTTGTTTGCGACATGTCGTCACTATCACTTTTATTATCGTTTATGACTGCTTCTGGATCGAGAATGATCTCTAATTGGCAAGCATTCTTGTTTTGCTTTTTTTGAACCAAGTGTGATGTAGAGGCATAAATATACTTGAAAATCACATACAATTGATAAATAATAGTCCTAAGCACATTGAACAAAAGTATCAGAGGAAAAGAAACAATGTAGAGATTTTTCTTGTGCACTGAAGAAGACTGCTGCTGATCCTCCAAACTACGATGACCATGGCGATGATGATGAAGATGATTGTAAACACTAGTCACTACTTTATCACTATTTTCAGCCTTTGTCACCCGTAGTTTTTTAGGTGATTTGCTACTTTTTCTAGATGAACGTCCACTTCCACCGCCATCGCTATAAGACATCTCCCAAGTCTGTTGTAACTTGTAGTGTAGCTGCTGCTGAGCAAATAAAATCTCAATTAATTGAATATTTTTCATACAAAAAAAGAGTCAAAAAAAAGAAAATCGCGCTTAATTACCGCGAGCGGCTGACTGAAAGATCTTTTCGGCGAAACTGATCGAGTACGATGACGATAGTACAGGGATTGCTGTTGAGTCGCGGTATTCGTCTGCACGCTCCGACATCCCAGACGCGAACGTAACTGATTATGCGATGCTGACAGAGTCGTCGTTGCCGCTGATGTTTTTGTCGTCGTCGACGTAGTTGTGGCCGTCGTTATTGGCGAGCTATTGTGAGCCGCTTCGCCGGACGCCGAATTACTTCTTTTTAAAGGTCGGATCTTCAACGATGCTTTACACAGCTTCCCATTAGACGAGTATTATGTTATTCGAGTCTATAAAAAGGAGAGACAAAAAAAAAGCTCAGCTTTGTAAGTACAAAAGGTGCTGCACGGCGCTTCGAGTTATACAAAGGATGAGGAGAACGCGGAAAAGAGCACGAGGCATATAAATATACACAAACCGATGTGCGTGCGTTGTGTGTACATCGGCACTCGCGATGCGACAGTCAGTCAGTTCGATGGAGCAGTATCCCCTTTTTAGCAGACGAATCGAATTTCGATATTCGCGCTACTGCGGTGCTTTGGCATCTCCCTCTCACCTCTAGCAGCTCGAGTAGATAGTAAGTATATATCTCACATTCGCCGTTTCTTCTTTATGGCTTGAAGCACCGATCAGTTGTACGCCGTAGGGTATTATCTTCTTTGCTGCAGTTCATATCGAGTTTGAAGAAGGGAACAAATAACAATAACAACAATCAAGCGAAGTTATACACAACACCCCGTCTTGTTTCTTCCCTCGCCGTGCACTGCGCGAAATGCAACCAACACTCTGTGTGCTGTGAACTGTCGTACGTATACACGAGATAGGGTCAAGTTGATGCGCTTCTACTGCTGTGTAAATGATACTGTGCTGTACACGCGACTGTGTAGACACTAGTAAGAGGGTGAACTAACTGCAACCCCTTCTGCGTATCCTCATGCTACTCCTCCTACCTCCTCCTCCGCTTCTTCTTCTGCTCTCGTCCACACACTGTCGATTCAGCGGAATATAACGTGCATGTGCCAGTGGCTGCAATGTACATACACACATGTATGCCTACATCGCGTACGTAGGTAGAGAACTACTCGGCTATCCTCACATTTGGCGCAGACGTTCTCTACACACACCGACGTTATAATGATGATGATATTGCGACAGCGCGCTTGCTTTGTAAACTACTACTGTACTTTGCACGAGAGGAACAGTGACGGAGCGAGAAGGAAAAAAGGCGCAGGTGTCGATCAGTCGCGGCGATGCGACGAGATGATGTGCGCGATGAAATGAGTTATACGGGTAAACCTCGACCTTTTTTTCTGTGTGTATTCCGATCCATCGGCTAAGTTATGCTTCTTTCAGGGACGTTTCGGAGAAATTCTCGATTATTATTGTAATAATTCTGCACGGCGCAACGGCGCGAGCAGCTAGCGCGCGCCGACTGATCAGCAGCATCGCTTGTAAACTGCGTCTCAGCGGGCACGAACTACGCAAGATTTACCTGCCGTGTGTTATTCGTATAGCCCCAGGCGCAGGACTGGTAGAGTATCGTATTCCTATATAGATATAGGGACATACTGCGAAACACCTTGCTCGTATGCGTAACGGAAAAAATCGCATGTTTTTTCTTCGCGCTCGAGTTGCGATGTTATTAGGCTTTGAGTGCACTAACATATCAGCCTCAATTTTCTGATTTTCATAGCAAAGAGTATAGTTGTGTATTCGAATTTTCCTCGGGCCCGCGTGAAGATCTTTACACGTTTTATCAAAAAAAGGATGTGAAATTATTTAAAATAAACATTTTGCCATTGCATTTTGGTCAACGCACGCATGCGCACATTGCAGTTATTGGCAGCCCTGAAATGCTGTTATTTTAATGTAAAAAAATATCAAATTATAAAAACGTTTGCGCGTTAAAACTCATTAATCGTTTTTGATTGAATTCATACAATCAAGATTTTAAGGGTTTGATCAAAAAATCAAATCATTTTTTTAAAGATTTGTTTTTAAATTAATCGGATGAAAATTAACCAAATATTTTGATGATTGCTTGATCAAAATTAATATAATCCATAGATCGGTAATACGAGAAGCAACATTTGAGATGGCTGCATCAGTTACACTTTGACGACGAATCGATTGTGTTATTGGAACAATGTCAAATTATTGAAATCGAATAAATTTAAATTCTCATACTTACGAATAAATAAACGCGAGAGAAAATTTGATTTACTATCGATCTTTCTTGATACGTTGCCAGCTACGAAGTTTTTTTACAACTGAACAATGAATTTGTTTTGCACGGACAGAACTCATACGTAAACTGCTAATTATAAAAAGATAAAATGCGTGGGTGCTGAATATTCCATAAAGTATGAAATGTATGCTAATGAGAAAACAATTTCTCATAGGATCATTTCACAATTTTCAAGATGAGAATCGATCGTTATTAATATGTTTATTGCCACACCTCAAGGTCTTTGACTCGATGAAAGTCTCTACCTTGTAAAAAAGATCGTTTAAAATACGACAATGACTCGATTTTTCAAATTCACTCAGACGAAGTAGCTATAACATATCTTCCAATTACATTTAAACATCAATGCGTTGACATTCTGTAATCAAAACTCTGATAACAACGCAGTATTTTGGTGAAATGCGCAGTACAGTGCACATTCATGGAATTCGCGCGCAGTGTATGCTTATCACAATGTATCGCGTCCCATCAAAAATGTCAAATGCAGTGACGATGTGAGGCAGCAAGAAAACATCTTCCTTCTCGTTCTATTGTCGTAAATCAACAACTCACTTGTTTCTGCGCTGCACTTGAACAATGTCTCTTCTCTGCTTTCAATAAACTGACCAATTAATATGCATTTCTAAGTGTAATCGCGGAAATCAACAGCGGAACTGCAACGGCATATATACAAAGTGCAGACGACACAATGTCTATAGAAGAAAATTTAGCAGCTAAATTGTGTTACTTTTTGGGAGACCAAGTGAACAGTGGTAATACTTCATTCAATTTTACAAGCAATTTTCAAGTATTTTTGCAATTTTTCCAATTATATTCCAGTGTCAAGTTATAAATTATGATATTTGGATTTTTAATTGCTTTCATTATTTGCAGCAGAGCAATGGAAATTACTTGGTCAAGAAAGCAATGGATCTTTGCTACTGGGATGGATAGAAATTTCATCAAAGCATTGCAATCGGAGCCCTTATTCTGTAATTGGCTGTTACAATAGGCTTTTAGATAAATTAGAGGTACAGATTTTTATTCTAATCTTTATAGAGCAATTCAAGATGAATAAGTTACCTTTTGAATGTTACTCAGGTTTTATATAGATTCAAAGATACGCTTAACCTGATTCAAGCTACAATAAACCAAAGTCAATCAGTATTGGGATATATAGTAAAACAAACTCTGGAAAGTGATGCAAGAGAAAATGTGATAATTAATAGTGAAAAATCAGCCAAAGATATTGCTAATGAAGATAAAAAATGCACAAGTACAGAGTCCAATGAGTATTATCAAGCTTATTTAGTTGAATTGAAGACTGAGGAAGCTAAGATACATACCCTAGAAAGTAAAAAATTTAAACAAATAAGAATACAGTTTTTATACAAAGAAAAACTTAGCTCTAGCATAGACAAGCTCTTGGTCTTGATACATCAAGAATGTAAGTTACATTTCATTTAAAAAAGAAATGATTTTTATCGAAAAACTAAACTTAGATATTGTTTTTAGACGTCCATAAGTGTACCCTTTTATACAATACTAATACTGAGATAGCCTCAATAAAAGAAGTGAAAAAGGAAGTCATTATAAGAAATTCTATATGGGCTCAATGGGATTCAATTAATCAAGTTTTGTATCACATACATTTAAAAAAAGCATCAACAAGTGTGTTTACTGAAGATTCAAACAGAGACCAACACAACCCTCCATGTAGTTCCCCAACGCTCAGTGGCTTTCAATTTCATGATGATTTACCCCATGAAACAGTGGTTAGTATTTCAATATCAAAAATTTGTAAATAACTTAACTTCTGTTAACATTATGCTCTTTTCTACAGTTAAACATTCCTCTCAACTTACCACAATGTCCCAATTCAGACAATTGTGGCGCGTACGAGGACGACGTGATACCTCTCAGAATACACGACTGTTCGCTCGATCTCATCGTCGTTTCGGACCAGAAGGGCACAGTATGCGTGTGCCATCATTACCTCTACCGTCCTGTACAAGATGCCCAGATGGATGAAGTGTCGTCCTGCGACGATTCGAACACCGTGAATTTTGCCTACTCCGTCACGCTTCTGCATCACAGCTGCGTGATTCACTGCGTCGTTCCAGCCATACCTTGGAACCGGGCTAAGCTCATGAGACCGACTTTCGCCCTTTACGGCGAACACCACATGATCGTATTCGTGCCGGATTGCTTTACGCACCTGTTGGAGATCGGCTTGCATCATCAACCTTGCTGTCACATCCTTGGCGGAGCTTTACCCAATGTATCGGCGCAATCCTACCTCGTACCGTTATTGAATTTGAACGGGACCAAATCCAAAAATGTGTCTACCAGCAATACTTTTTCGTCTCTTCTTGGTACTAGCACGAATATTCTGACGATCGACCTACCAACATTGGACTTGGTGAATCTGACCGTACCCAATAACTTTCTCATCGACTTGTTTAAAAAAACTTCATCGTCGGACAATCGTCTGGCCATACTGCATTACTTTTTGACCCATAAAAACGACCTAGACTTGGCATCCGAATTGATATCGTCCCTGGTTGAGAAACCGCGCAATCTCGACGTCGTCAAAGTGATGCAAGAATTCCTCATCGGCGGTGCTCACATGCTCGTGCAAAAAAATCTGCTCACCGACGCGATACCCCTGCTGTCTCTGATTCCCGTGACGACGCTCGACGAGTGCTCGACCATTGAGCTCCAAGTCAAGGACTTGCGCGTGAAACTGAGCCACGAGAAACTCTGGAACACGGCGGTGATGCTGCTGTCGCCGCAACAGAGAATCGTCACTTACAGAAGCGATCTCTGGACGAAGCTGTGGGATACGTTGAACAAGAGGAGCAAAGAAGATTTCCCGAGATTTCAACCCAGTCAGACGGCGGAGAAATTACAGATCTCGCTGTCTTGCTACCAACCGGAGGCTCTGTCGAGATGTAGCACGCCTATGTCACCGAATGGAGGGTACGTAATGATTACTCCAAACGTAACGACAGAAATATTAAACATTTTTGTTATTTATTTACCAGGTTCAACATTGCAAGCGCCACATTCGGAGAGCTCATGGGTGGACGTCACAAGTACGCCAATCACTCGGCTCTACCGTTCGTCGAGCAGGAGAGCTGCACAGCTTCAAAACAAGAGCACATAGCCTCGGTGAATCTGCGCGAATTGTCGTTGCACCTGCTGAAGTATGGTTCGCAAAGCGTCGCCGGCACCAACGTTCGCAGCAAGGCACCTGGCTCGTCGTGTACACCGCTGCACGTGCACGCAATGTCGACGAGATACGTTGCCACGCAGTTCGACGCCTCGAGGCTGCTCTGCCAAATGCTCTGCAAAGCCGCCAACGTCGACTCGAAGCTCGAGATCGAACGAGGATTCAATCTCATGTAAGCTCAGTTCGTAGACACAAGAATAATTCGACGAATCAACGTTGACTCCTTTATTATTACTTTTTTGGCATTAGCGACCAGCTGGACGATTCAAGGCGTTGGATGCTGTTCACTCTGCTGGAGCGATATCGTTACGCGACAGAATGCGTAGCCTACCCAGTTCCTCAAGGTTTCATGTCGTTCTTCGCTTACCTCGGTTATCGCACCATGAGATACAACAAATTTTTACAATACGCCCGACATTCCGTGTTCGAATTGCAAGTCGACGTGGCCAAAGTCATAATGTCCGGTAAGAGAGAAGCTTTCAAGAAACGCGTAAACAAAAAAAAAGAAAAGAAAAGTAGAGTAGTAGCCGCAGCGACGATATAATTAATTAATTCGTTGATTGTGTGTTGTGTATGTATGAAAAAAAAGATATCGACGATACGAAGGGCAACATCAGCCACAAACTGGAACTACTGTCGGTGATGCCACGCATTCGAGCCAAGCGTCTGCTGAATCAGTGGCTGCACCCCGTGAGCTTCATGCTGAGAGCCCGCGAGCACGCGGCCAACATACTGTCGGGCGAGCCGAGCCAGTCTCGCAGCAGGGCACCGCAGCATCGTCATCATCATAACGGTATGACACATGGTCGTCGCGCACTGCGTTCTATATATATACGCAGACGCGTGCGCCTACCGATCTTCGTACATGAATTTAACATCGCGCCGATCGTACCCCGGAGTATTAATCAATTTTTGTGTCTGCTCTCGATAGGTTTATCCGCCTTCCCTGCGGCAAATCGACTTTCTCCGCTGGATAGGTTTTTCGATTTACTCACGGCCAAAGGTATGGAATTCTCATTTGATGATTATTATTCTCCGACGCCGAGGAGTTTTAATTTTTTTCTTTTTCTTTTATTCGACTCTTTGCAGCCAGCTTGACGGAACTGGATTTTGGATTGCTCATCGAGGCTACCGTCACGTCGACCGAGGATTTCCTTTAGGACATAAAACCAGTGCAATAATTCATTTTCATATTTTCAATTTTTTATATTTGTGAATCATTAATAGATAAAATTATGATACGTTCCTTTTTAATTGTGATAAATTTACGATTCGAATTGTAATTTAGTTTAATTATAAACGGTGATTATTGTTGTTAAGACATATTTTTTATTTATTCAAGATACGATTTTTTAAATGCATGGAACTGACGTAATAAAACAGTATACAGAGAACTCACTTATTAAAATATTTAAAGGATTTATTAGGTAAACTTTTAAAATAAAAAAATTCATAAATATTTGATTTGATGGTTGTTTATTGAAACACTCTTTATGATGTACAAGCCAATCTAGGTAAGCAATTACTGAAAATTAAACATAAAAAATGAACAATTAAACTTATGAAAAATCACAAAAGTAGATGCTGTTGTTAATACAATCTTAATGATAATTCGCTTATTATCGCGAAAGACTCGAAGGCACAGACGATCCTCGACCCTTACATTTTTTTCCTCACCAAACATTTCACCGCAATAACAGTAATGGATAAATTGCATTCGTGAGCAATGAAAATTGATAACATCGGAGAAAAAGAAGAAAAAACGTCATCACGGCAAAATGAAACGGTTAACTACTACAGAACTTGGACACATGTATTGTTCGGCTGTATTTACACGTAATGTGAAAAAAGACTTAAGACAATTCAACGCGTTAAGTTCGATTTGTTTTTTTTTTCTATTTATTACGCAGAATCAAAGTGTAAAGGGGACCGCGTGCCTTCGCACTCAGAAATACGCAGAAAATAACGATTTCTCACAATTATTATTTGATAAAACTGCACATTACACATTATCCTTAATAATCTAATTGCTTCTTAGAGACTATTTGAAAAATGAGAATGAACAGAAATTTGATCAACGCTACTGTTTCGAATTCACGAAATGTCGCGTACACGAAAGAGTAGGTATACGAACAAGTCCATGCGTTCGCGTGAGTGATTTTTCTACAATTTTTCAAGCACTGGTCATCGGTTTTCACAAAAATGTGTCGCACTTTCTTAACACATAGAATTAAACACTGGACTTTCGGCGTATAATTATTTTTTCAAGTTACGTAATATTATGTATAATTGCACCTAAGGCCACTTGAATAAATCTTAAGCGGTAGAGGCTACTTTCTGAACCGCAAATTTTCAACAGTGAGTGTACGGCTACTCAATTTTTCTTTTTTCTTTTTTTCATACACATTGTCATCATATACTTATATCATAAAACGTAAACGCAATGGCACGGCCAAGTTGACAAAAATAGTAAAATAATACACTCGATACTTGTTACGAAGCAAGAAAAAAAAAACAAAAATCTTTGTTTGAAGATGTTCTACTGCATAGAGACGCAGACGACAATAAAATTGCCCTTGATTTCAACACGCGATATTACATAAAAACTACAGTACATACATCAGTCCGAGGAAAACTTATACAAGATATCAAAGTTTTAAACTGAAATATATATCATCACTTTAAAAGTACAGGCCTTAACATCATACGTTACATAGAAATCTAATTTTTAATCATTAAAACATTGCCGTAAATAATCACAATAAAATGAAGAATAAAAACGAGTAACGAGGCTCGTTATTATTATGCGATAAAATTACTAAGTTTTTTACGGGCCTCTTGCATCGCAAATATTACATTTATAGATGCTTATTTAATAATTATAAATTACACAATGTTACTGGGTGTGCGAAATTAGAACCTTATGATTCGATGTGTATCATACACAAACTTTTAGCATTACGTGTATATTACATGTTGATGTCATACCTACATTCATCAATGTACTCGTTAAAAAAAAAAAAAATAANGGGGGGGGGGAGAAGCTGTTATACGTCTATAATGCGTACAATTAATGAAATAGTAATAAGGGGTATGACTTAAGTATCTTAGCACCGCAGCGACACTTGCGGCTTATCTACTTTTGCTTTCAACATTTTTATAGGCGATAATCATATAAATATATTATAATATATATTGTATATGGCATTCGTGTCTTTGCGCGCGCATTACATTACAAACTTACACGTGTACAAATCCCTACAATATTATCATCGTTATTAATGTATATAATCACGTTCACTATAATCAAAGGCTTATAATGTTGCTTCTCTTTTGCTTTCTCTATCTCTCGCATTATACAAACTTATGGTACTAATACATCTGCGATTGTAGCTAAGCACAGAGACGAATTAAATAATACGTGTATGCATTTAGTTTTCTGCTAAGAACAAGGAAGTGCGTGCAATTTTAACTATCGAAACTCCTTCGATTGGCGCGTGCGACTCGACACAAAAATCATCAGCATCGAATCGCTCCGAGTGATTTGAATATTTACACCTTCTTGATTTGAATGCAAGCTTATTATATGCGAAATTTTACAATCGTCCTTTTTACAATTATCATCGATGCTAATTATACGAGCACCAGTAATAAGGGCTCGAATAATTTGCACTTTATCTTTATCTCGTTACATGCGTACATCTCTCATCGTATGGGACGAGTTTTCAATTATTATTTAAAAAAAAAATACACATCCTAACAATTATACATACATTTTTATCATTTAAATCGAACGCGCATTCACGCACATGCTATCGAACTGACTGAATTTTCATGACTCGCTGAATAAGTGCTCGATTCATAATTAATTAAATAAGAAATAAAAAATATCAAAAAGATCAAAAGAAGAAACGAAGCCGGCTGGAGATGCATCGAGGTACGCCGCGTACGTTAATCTGTTTTTGTTTCTTCCTTTTTCTTCATGTGTGTACGGCTCGATGATGAAGGTAGTAGTACTGGGTATTTAAAAAACTGTTTGGTCTTGATGAGACGTTCGCGGTTCGCCATCGCTGCTGCTGTTGCTGCTGTAGTTGTTGCTGTTGTTGCTGCTGCAGCTGGCGTAGCCTCTGCATCTCGTCGACTTTGATTCTAATTCGTTGTAGCAAGCGGCAAAGCGGAAATCGGCTAGGAGTCGGCGGTGGCTGCTGCTGGGGCTTCTGTTGACGATCGGTCAAGCTCGCGCGCGCAGCTACTGCTTCTTCCGAGATCGTTGTTATCCGGATGGCGCTTGCACGGCCACTCTGTATAACAGAAAAATTGAGGAAAAATTGAGAAATTTTCTAATCAAAATGTAGGGAAAAATTTATTCGATTTGTTATAGACATGCAGTCAGAATTAGCGCGCGTTCGCGAGTGTCGGTAATGAGGGAAAAAACATAGCCGGTTTCGGCAGCGGTGATGGCGCTGCAGTCAAAGACTTACAGCAGTAGAAATTTAGAAATTCACCAGTTCGGTCTCGTCTCGTGGCAATAAAGCTATTCTGCCGCATGAAATATTGTCGGCTTGTAAAATAACATAAGTAATAAAAGTAAAGTTCGAAAGAACTTGAAAACCATCCAAAATGGTGAGCTGAACACTAATTGTCAATATTTTGTGCCTTTGCAATCGTATTAAATATTTCTTACATTCTTATTTTGACGAAGAAGCGTGAAGTGCATATAACCTATATAACTGTGTTTTTGTTATCGTAGCTTTGATTTACTTCAAATATAAAATGAATTTATATATAAATGTTAGATCAAATTGTTTATTATTTAAATTTTTTTTCAGAAACCTCTTATGTTACATGGGCACGAGCGTGCCATTACTATGATTAAATTCAACAGAGAAGGAGATTTAATATTTTCTGCTAGTAAAGACAAAAAACCAAATGTCTGGTACTCTATAAATGGAGAAAGGCTAGGCACTTTCAATGGACACAATGGTTCAATTTGGTGCATTGATGTCAACTGGGACACGACTCGTCTATTGTCAGGCAGTGGTGATATGTCGCTCAGATTATGGGATGTTCAGTTTGGCAAAGAAATTAGCAAATTAAGTACAAAAAGCTCAGTGAGAGCTTGTGGCTTCAGCTTTTCTGGAAATTTAGCTGCTTATGCCACTGACAAAGCTCTTGGTCATAATTGTGAAATGTTTATCATTGATATAAGAACACCAGAACCTGTTCTTCAGATAGAAGATAACATCTGCAGAACAATGATGGCTGAATCTAGGATAACATCCCTACTTTGGGGTGCTTTGGATGAAACAATCATCACAGGGCATGAAAATGGAACCATAGCTATTTGGGATAGTAGGGTAAGCAATCTTATAATTTTCCTATAGAATTGATCCTTCAGATTAATAATAACAATTGTTATTCTCAAACAGACTGGAAAAAAACTGAACTACGCTGATGGACATTCAGTACCTGGAAATGAAAGACAAACCAATTGTGCTATAAATGATATGCAATTCAACAAAGATGGCACAATGTTTGTGACAGCTTCCAAAGATCACACAGCAAAACTATTTGATAGTGAAGATTTAACGGCATTAAAAACATACAAAACAGAACGTCCAGTCAATTCAGCAACAATTTCTCCTACTCATGATTACGTAAGTATTTTGTTTACTAAATTTTAATGAAAATAAGCACTGAATAATCTTAATTTTAAAATAAATTTTTTGAAATATCTTAGGTTGTTGTTGGTGGTGGTCAAGATGCTATGGATGTAACAACAACATCTGCAAAGCAAGGCAAATTTGATGCTCGTTTCTTCCACCTTGTTTTCGAAGAAGAATTCGCAAGATTAAAAGGTCATTTCGGTCCAATTAATTCTCTAGCTTACCACCCGAATGGGCGCACGCTCGCTACAGGCGGAGAAGACGGTTATATTCGTATTAACAATATGGATCAATCATACTTTGATTATCAATTTGAATATTAGATACTTGTTAAGGAATATTATTTTATAATAACTAGGAATTGTAATTTTTGTAAAAAATTTGAATCAAAAATGGATTTAGATTCTCGTAGAAGTATAACTTCTATTGTAATATTGAATTCAAATTAATTATATAATAAAATACAAAAAATTAAGAAATCAAAAATTGTTTCGATTATTGAAGATAGAATTTTTACGTATGTAATATATTTAGCAGTATCAAACCATAAATCTATGCAGTAAATATTATAGGATGACGAGGAAAATCTCATGAATAATTCTTACATAAAAATAAGTGAAAAGTGCAATGATTTTCAAATTCGCCCTTTCCTAATCTCAAAAAAATATGTCAAGAAACAAACGATATATCCCCATTGGGTACATGGAAAGCTTCAAAGTTCATAATGATCGGTAGCACGATCACCAGATATACGTGAACATTCTATAAATAAGCGGAAAAATGAAGTGTCCTGCGGTTTGCGGCTTTTCCGACGTTCTCGCGGTATCATTTCTTGATATGCGGATAGGGAATACGCGCTTGCTTGGATTATAAGCCGTACAAATAGGGGTGCGTAAGTATATACGTTCACTCGGAGATCAAAATAGTAAAATCAGCATAATTTCGAACTCCTGGAAGTCTAGATTACACCGACTCACTTTTTGTTAGGCGTCCACATACGTCTTGGTATCATTCAACTTGAATTTGATTTTTTTTCGTCTTCTATGCAGTGCCTATATACAACAAATGATTTATATATGCATCCTTCCATCGGGGACTAATTGAATTTTAGTACTTCTCTCGGATGAGCGTCGACGTCTACCCCTAGCGTATTTTCGTTCTTAATGGATCTCCTAAATAACGCAGATTTCAAAATTACCAAATGTCGTCTCGTCATACCGCTTTCTAAAAAGCTGTGCATACACAGCGTCTCACTGAAACGATATTGTTCCCCATCATCCCGTAATTAAAGGAGGCGAAGTTCGCGACGTGTGGGATTTTATTGGGCGAGATCTCGTACTTCCGCAAATCAACCTCTGCCTTTTTTTTCATCTTCCTCTCTCTTTCACTGTCGTCGCTGTGCTCATATTGCCCATACGCGATAATAATTGGCACTTTGTAATAATATCCTTTCGTGCATTAGCCCGGTACGCACGCGCGTGCTTATTGTCTGCTGTTATATGACGTATAGAGACGATTTTGACGCATATCATGTACATATACTTTCTCTTTATAAACGAAGACACGACAGGGGCGCGTCGTCGTCGTCGACGACTGTTAGCTCAGCAGGAGAGAGAACGAGATGATTTATGGACTTGTTCAGTTCGCGCGCGGCGAGAGAATCACTTTCGTTTCGTTCGCGATAACGCGCGACAAGCTTCACTATATACACGTACAAGTCCATTTCTCCAATGTCATTTTTATTACCGAATCCTGTCTCGCGCGAAAAATTACGTCACACCGGAGTGATCCTTTCTCTTCAACGCGACGACGACTGAAAGGATACACTGAAAAAAAGCAGCCTCGTCTCTCGTCCTTATCTTTTCGCACTTATCGAGGCCTTGTTGCCGCGATGCCAGAGTCGAGCGTTGTTTTTCCCCCTTTTTTGCTTCTCAAAAAGGCAAACTCATTTTTTTCTTTTCGTTACGCAAAAAACTAAAGAAAGAATAAAAGAGACTCATGCACGGTGAACGACGAGGTGAAGTTCAATGACCAGCGATAAGTGCATGCGGAACATCGATGTTTATAAGCAAAAAAAAAAAAAAACAGAAAAAGGAAGGGGTAAAAAACGACGAGAACTGGAGACAGAATCGAAAATACGTGCGAATTCTCGGCCAAAAGAGAGGAAGACGAGGATAGATATATTTTCGGAGATGAAAGATAAGCCATGTACACGTGTATATCCTGGGTGGGCCGTGCGCGCGCCCGAGTGGTCGGCCTGCTTCATTTTTTAGATTTTTCGCTTGGTAAGCGCGAGAAAATGAGACTGAAATCCTGTGGATTATTCGATGCATCAGAAGCGAATGCGAATTATACCGGATTAGTCGCAGGGGCCCCGTCAGAAAAAAGAGTCTGGACATTTCGTGGAGGCGACATTTTTCTTGTTTTCTTCGCTTTGGAAAAAGACGAAGTGAGGGCGTTGAAAAAGTGACCACGACGACTATACTACTGAACCAAAACCGCGCAGCGTACACGGCAACTTGCCTTTATTCGAGTCTCGTAGCTCTTGCGTGAAAAAGAGTGTCCAACTTTTGGTTTAATGAACCACCATTGAGAGATCACGGAGTTTTCGTGGGGCACGCTACCTTGCCGCCCGCGAATTGCGTTGCCTGCAATATTGTTATGTGCGGCAGTCGTGGTACTCGTGGGATTGACCACTGACATATAAAAAAAAGAACTCCCCTCGATGAAATGTTTTTCAACGCGGCAGCAGTTCGTTTCTTTTTTTTGTCATTTTTTCGTTACCATGTACAGCAGGTCGCGCGAAATTCAGATACAGCGAGGAAATTTGTTTGACATCGTTGACGAGTAGTAAAATGCGCGCGTGTATATTTTGGAACTGGTCTCGCGTATGTACTACGTAAACGAGTAACGAAAAATCATCACGTTGCAAAAATACATATCGCTGACAATTAAAAATTTGGATTTTTGTGTTTGCGTGTTTATACTGACGCACGAGTAAATAGAGTTGACTGACTGTCCAGTGCAACGAACTTGGAGCTCACGTACAAAACATACAAATACTGCGGGAACAAACACTGATAAACGTATACGCAATCTCTCGCGTTTAAAGAGCTTTCTGCCAATCTGAAACATTTTTAAAGCTTCCGGTAGTGAACAGATGTGAATTTCACAGATAATACATAATATTTACTTTTGCCTATTCATGCTAAATCGAAAATCAATTTTTCAAGATGAAAATCATACAAAATAGCTGAAAATCGAAAAAACATGCGGCGAAAATGAAACTAATCCTCGTTTCATTTTTGAAAAATTACGACCACCCCGTACACACAGTGCTTTTAACGCGCGTCGGGCAACAAATTTGCGCGAGGACTCGACGCGTCTCTCTCGCGTTTAATAATGAAATACGCCGAGTTAGAGGCGTAAACTTCCTGCTTTCGCACAGCCACTCTCGGTGTGTTTATTCATTCTCGCACATGGTTTTTCTGGAAAAACAGAGAGGCTGCGTTGCACGCAAGCCATTATTATATTTACCCGCAGACGCGAAATGTTCGCGCGTCGACGAGTGCGCGCAAAGCTGCGATTATATATAGGTATTGTTGTCGTAAAATATAAGCGGATAAATACGTTCATCTCTCTTATACATTCGACCCGCGCAGTGCTCTTTCTATGCGCAGTGGTTTTTGAGTGAAAACTGCTATTATACATACAAGCGTGTCGACGAGTTGATAAACACCTCGCGCAGCCGCGCGCGCTCCTACAGCTTGCCCAGAAACAATGAGGCATTGAAATCAATCTTTACACATTTTTGCGAGATTTCGCTCGCTCTCATCGCTTGGCCGATTCACATATATAATCCATTTGTTCCGATCGGTCCTTTGGTAATATCAACACTTGACACCTCGAGTGATTTGTGTGTGAGTGCGAGGGAAAAAATTAGCGCCACCGTAGCCGCACGCACGTCAATTTCTATGCATTAAGTTGTTACATGCATTAAGTTATAATACGTTAGACGCGTATATATCTAAAACGAGGCGTAGGTATCACGTCATAATCGAGGCCCGGCAGACGCGCTGCTCCTCGGCACACTCGAGCCGTGAAGTTCGCGTGTGCTCGCACGAGAGCTGCATTGTGTCTAGGGCATTATAATATAGCGTGCCTGCGCGTGCCTGCGCGTAGCCGATAAATGTCTAAGCTAAAAACGGACTATTAATCATATTTTGCACGTGAGAGTGCACAATTATTGTATTATATACCCTTGTCGTCGCCGCCGTCATTGTCGAATCAACTCACACGTGAAGGGCTGGCATAATTTACCCGGTAGACGCTATTTTTCTTCCTCGTCTTTGAATCGTATCCTCGTAACGCAATTCCAATCTAGTAATTTAAATTTTATATTCAGGAGGTTTCCGAATATTAGCCGCTCGTTAAGTAATATAATTAATAGAATAATTAATGGGAGCACTTTTACGCACACGTGCGCACTTACTTACGCACGCTCTCTCGCGCGGGTTACGCAATTTTTCCATTACCTCCCGTCAACTGTGTGTGTATATGTGCACTAACATCCAAAGTGCAAAGTGAAAATTTCCCCGACAGCTTTTGCTGCGGCAGCAGCAGTCGCAGTAGCGACAGGTATTACGCGCAGCAGCCAAAATATATTTACTATATAACCGCGTATACGAATCGATAAGCCTAATTGATACCAGATAAACTTGTCCCATTGCTGTGCTTACACATATTTATATTGCATCGTATATATAGGCTGCTGTATACGCCCAAGCGGTTACTACGAGGGCAAATTATCGACAGGCGCAATTTACATTTGTTGGCAATTATTTCGCGCCAGCGTCTATATTATGCGTTATTGTTATTATTGCGCTGCACCTGCTCCCTTTTTTACTCTCGTCCTCGAACGAAGCCAGACGCAGACGCGCTCGTCGTCATCATTTCGTTGCTTTGTGCTTTTCTCTCTTTTTTTTTTGTACATTGTATATTTTATTACGTTTTCGATTTCATTTTCCGGCGCGTAACGCATAAAACAAGAAACTCGTTCACGTGCACGCGGCAAAATGCTCTTCATTATACGATCTCTTTTGCGAGGGGAGAGAAAAGAGAAGGAGAGAGAGAGACCTTGAACTTGTGTTATATATACAAGAGATGTCTTTTGCAGTCTTGCTCATAGGCGTAATCATTCCAGTCTACTGAATATAAAGTTCTCTCTGATAATGTACACGCGCTATACATATCTTGTATACGCGAAATCCGGATGTCACTCTATTTTTCCGGGGAGCGAGTCTTGAGTCAGTCGCGTGGAAAATATGATACGCCGCGCGCGGTCTGGTCTGCGCTATAGGTATTTTTTTTCCTCCCCAGCCGGCGGCGAGTCAAAACCGCGATTCTTTAAATAAAAAAGAATATATATAAAAAAAGAGATACGAGTACGTAACTTTGCTTTTACGTGAATTACGCATTC